TTATTATGTCTTTGAGGGATTTCTTCACTGTTGTTCAATAGTGAATCCAGTTCGCTTGCGGCTTCGGATGTTTCGCGATTTTCACGAGCCTCGTCCTTCTCCAACATGTTCTTGTAATAAAGAGTATTGAAATTCGATACAAATGTTAGGACGGGCAGCGCGAGAGTCACCGCGCCAAATATTGCACAAGCAGCCGACATAAGTTTTGCTAAAGGGCTGTGAGGGTACCATGTCTCCATATCCTATTGTTGTGATGGTTTGTATTGAGAACCAAAATGTTGCAGGTACACTATGGAAATCTGTCTTTTCACTTCCCACTTCGATATAATACAAAAGGCTAGCTGTAACAATCACACTGAAAAACAGACACAGAATTAAAAGCCCTAATTCTCTGAAGCTCTCAAACACGCAATACCCAATTATCTGAAGACTCTTGGAATAACGGGAAAGCTTGAAGATTCTAAAAACTCGAACGATCCGTAATATTCGTAGCGCTGCCACTGAGCTTGCTTCGGACTTGGTGAGAAGAAGTGAAACATAGAACGGAGCGATGGCCACCAGGTCGATAATGTTCAAAATCGACGTAAAAAAACTGCACTTGTTCGGGGAAGTGAACAGCCGAACTAAATACTCGATTGTAAACCAAGTGTTGAAGGCTAATTCTAAAAGAAACCAGGTGTCTTCGCTCCAGACCGGCTCCTCTGCGGTGTCTGCAAAATTAGCGAAGTCGGCTTTCTTTTCTCTTATCGAGGGTACAGTTTCTGCGATAGAGACTGCAATTGCCACGACGATAACGCTGACAGAAAATATGGCTAAACACGATGCCGCAAACGACGTGTCGGGTTGATCAAAGAGTTCCCAGATTTTGCGCTGAAGTTTATTTTCAGGAAGTTCTCTTGGACTTTCGTTTATACTCAGATACCCTTCCTTTAGTCGAATGTCACTCAAAACTTCATCTCCCAGTTCGAAAAACTCAATTTCTTGCTTAAAAATACACATGGGGACTTCAGCCGGCCGCCTGAGTCGTCCACTGGACTGGTAATAATAGAGGATTGCCTCAAAGGCCGATCGATTGCGGTTGAAGAAGTACTCTTTAAATTCCGGTACGTAAAACTTGCTTCGCTTCTCCTCGTTGCCCAGGAGCGTGTCTGGAAAACGTGATAACGTCGTCTGGCGCGTTTCAAATATCATGCCGCTTACGTTTATCACTACACGGTCGTCGTAGATAACGCTTCGTACAGAGCACATCTTGAACGCTATGATATGGCTTTTGGAGGTGCACCCTGCACCAAAGCGACGTACGAGCCAGGAGCTTACAATTTGATGGAAATATCACGTAGAAAATGAGTCATTTTATAGACCGCTTGAAAGTAAACAATCTAACATACCCAGAGCAGGTTACGCACCTTGCCATCATCACTTAGCTATTCGCTCGCTGGATGTTTAAGGTAGAAGTGTCGCATGAATTATTTATGCATCGTTCTCGTAGCTCTTCTTCAACGCTTGGAGCTACAAAGAAAAGAAATCCTGTGATGTCAAAATGTGATTTATTCGTCTTGTAGCTTTAGAATGGCCATTTTCAAAAGATAAGGTTTTTGTTTGAGTAATAAAAGTCGCTATAGAAAGGGCTAATGCATAATTCAGGTTAAAAAGCGTGATTTTCTAGTGTTCCTATGTGTAAATTCAATGACACCTGTACTTCAAAAACACTATTTTTATCACCAAACCACAACATTTGTTGTTCTTCAATCGATATACTGTGACCCTATTCACAAATTATTTGGGTTTATTTTATTTTACACGAGCATTTCACTCAAAAAAGGTTATTGTAGATGGACATATCTGCATCGCAGCGCGGTGGGTAAATTATTACGAAGTCTAACTCTTTAGAATTGAAATTTGACCAAAAAGACATTTTTTATCCATTTCTCCGCATTTGAAAATAAGATCGTCTCAACAACGCGACGTAGAAAATCGCGAGTACGAGTCGGTGAAATAGGAGTTTGCACATCATGTACAATAAATTTGACTCAACTCACCGGTGTTCTCCCTGTGCGGAGTGTGAAAATTACGTTTACATCTTTAAAATGGCTTTGTTTAACGTCTACAATAAGTATACCACAGATTTATTCAAAGCTTCCATAGAGCAGTAGGGAAAATTGATTAATTAAAAATTCGTCCCGTGTTCTTATGTCGAAATCCTTAGTCACTTCCTCCACATACACTGTTTTTGTTTAAAATTGACGCAAAATAGTCTTACCACAACTTGAGCTTTGAGTTCCTCAACTACGATATTCAAACATTGCTTTTCTTCAAGTTTCTTCAGTATTTGATCATTTTCATGTAGGGCTGAACTGATCTGTAATGAAAATTAGGAAGGTTCCTTAACACAAATGATAGCACCCCGGTAACGGGTTGAGGAAAAGCTTGTTAAATATACCTCGTTGTTGAAGGATGTGTACTTATAGGAACGCGTCTCTGGGTAAGATACGCGTTGAATCGAATGATCTTGAAGTCTTAATGGATTTGGGCGTTGTTGTTTTTTCAATTTTGGAAAACGGCAGAAAATGACTGCAGTTACTTAATAAGAAGCTTAGTCAAATTGCCGCCGGACAAATAACATGAATCATTCTAGGTAATTTCATACCACGAATCACATGAATTTGCATTTTCACGTTATTTTTCGTGGAATTTCATGTATTTAAGCAAGAAAATTGGAAACGAGTCAATAAGAAAAGACAGCGCATTTTGGCAAGGAGATGATGGCATAAATGCCGGACAGAGTTGGCAAGTGACTACAGGGTTGTTTGGAAGCTGAAAAAACCAAACGTAACAGAAAGTAAAAATAGGACGTTATTATAAGTATAAGCGACATTACAGAGGTGTAAAATTTGCTCAAAATGCTTAACTAACCATGAACTAAGAAATAATCGCTCGTTACTCATAATAGGCAATGATTGATACTTGACATGTACTCTTGGGATTAACACTCCATTGAAGTGCGTTGATAGCCAAGTGACAGGAATATCTAACGACATAACATTCAGGATCATAATCATAAGACGCGCACTTAGTATTTCTTGTAAGAATGCCTCCCAAAAAATAATATATATGAAGACGTTTGACGCCGATTAAAAAAATTATGAATTTATCTATTTTCGTCCATTGCGTTGATCAATGAACTTGCTGGGTCCCATAAATTTGCTGGCCATGTCGCTATGATCGTTGTTTTCGTTCGCACTAAATCTTTGACACCAACACAACCTGTCAAATTGTAATTTCTTTCATAATTGTGATTGTTGTGTCTGCGATTAGAAACAGGTCTTACTCAACCGAGAAATTCGTCAGACCCCGGCGGCTCAGGAATATTAAAAAAAAATAAGCCAAGGATCTGTAGCGGAGTAACTCGAAAAGGGCAGCCGATAAGTGGACACCACTATAATGGCGAGGCACCTGCGATCGCGAAATAAAAAAATGGTTTCATCGCAAACCCGAAGTGCGCGGTTTTCATCTTGTAGAGGAAGTCAAGGCCTCCGGCCACAAGCCTCGTATGATGTACAACACCGTGAAAATAAGCTATAGTTACCAGAGGTACGCTTTCCCCATTCGGTTTTACTTTGATGCTATCAAAGCCTTAACTTTGTATTCTTCGCTATAATCACTAACAATCTTTCACGTGACTCGTTCCCAGTCGTCTTCAGAACGTGAACGGCAGACGAGTGTGAACGGGAGAGGAAGTCTTCTCTTTCTTCTTCCAATCAGCCCTTTCTTTCACGCTGCACTCCCGAACCACACGCGTTTTGAAGAAAACTGGATTTGAGGAAAATTGTTCTACTCCGACCAAAATTACAGCTCTGAAGAAGCGTGGATTTGAAACTAATAAACCCAGTATAGTTAAAATGTAAAAGTTCCTCAAAGCGACAAAGATTCATATTCCATGAGAGGTTTACTCTGATAGATCGAGAAAAAATTGCCGACAAACCCCATGTACTTGGAGGACTGTATTTTTGAGCGAATTCATTTTCTAATTTTCGTATTTTGTCAAATGACACGTTTTTGAGTATCATTTTCGAGCGATAACTTCACTTCATTATGTGTAAACTAAAGGTAAATTGCTTTTTGTTAAAGAATCTATCATAATTAGTTCTCTCGTAATACTCTATTTGTACAACATTTCCGTTGAAAGAGCACGGGAATAGTAACAATAATACGCAACTTGGACATTTTCGTATGGACGAGGCCCTAAATGTTAATTTGAATAAGAATTTGTTACTGACTCACTAAATTTACACTGATTTATAATGCAGGCTCTTCAATAACGCAGTTTAGGCTTACGGATGAATTTTGCTAGAATCGAGACTCTACGAAAATAACTTTACACGGTGACTGTCTGCTGTTTTGTAGGCGACCACCAACTGCACGCCACACCAAGCATCACAGCCAGTTTATGTGATAAAGGTTTACAGTCAAGTCGCCCGAGAGTCATCTCGCCCGAAGTCATGTCGCCCGAAACCTGAGTCATGTTGCCCGAAATTTTAGTTATGTCGCCCGAAAAAAAAAGTGTAGTCGCCCGAAGAAACAAATACTAAAAATATCAGAATTACAGCTGTTAATAGGCAATAACGTTGAGAAATTTTTATCAGAGAAAAAGTTTCTCAGGCTTACGAAACGTCCGTGAGTAAGAAACGATTACATACCAAACGAACAACGCTGCATTTTGTTGTTAGAAACGAACAACATTTCCCTTTGTTGTTAGGGACGAACAACGCTTTAAGAATCTTCATGATGTTGTCGGAAACAAAGAGCGCTTCAGTGATAAAAATTTCTCAAACGTTATTGCCTATTTACAGTCTGAAATTCTGATCTTTTTTGTATTTGTTTCTTCGGGCGACATTAATAAAATTTCGGGCAACATGACTCAGGTTTCGGGCGACTTGACCGGTTCCTGTGATAAACTATCGCAGGTTCGACCAAGGTTTTGAAAGTCTTTTGTCAAGATGCTATCTTTCAAATCGCTGAAGCCTTCTTCTACGAACTTCATCCAGCGAACTTTCCTGGGGCGTGACGCTTTCCGGGGGGTACGGCGCATGTCTCCCTGTGTATCCGTTAACAACGTGTTCTTGCGGGGGAGCAGAAGGTTCTGGATCCGTAGAGTAGGATTCCGCTATCCCCGAAGGGTACGGTGGAGACTGCGCGAACGCCCCGCCTGTATAGGGAGTAGGATCCGGCAGGCGGGGATAAAGACCTCCTCCCTCTCGAGGGTAGGGTGGAACTTCTTGGGAGGGGTAGGCTGAGGGCCCCTGAGTGGAGTAGGGTGGCGGCCGCGAAGAAACACCACCAGATGAAGTTGCCGACCAAGAATTATAACGGCTTCCATTTTGAGGGGGGTATGGTGGGGATCCGGAAGATGGCCCTCTTCTCTGAGGCTGTTGGTTATCAGACCACCGAGAGGGCTCCCCTCCTGGGTTATCTAGGCTCTCTCTTATTGCCGTCTGTATCCTTGGGTCATAATCATCCAGGTTTGGCTGTCGATTCATATGTGTTTCTCGGAGGCTTGCCCTTATAGCTTCTCTGAGTTCTTCATCAGCGGAATCAAAGTCATCTGGAGGCTGTCTGTCCCGTCTTCGTCCTGTAGAAAGATTGGACTTAAGATGAGGGACGCTCACTTAAGTTTTGATTAGAGATACTGATGTTTTACAACAAGAACAAGGTTCACCATGGTATTCAGGCAAGAGTAGTTGCATTTGTACTTTCAGGCAAGAAACTGTTACCCTTTACACCCTAACATCAATATGCATATTTTCCATAGTGTTCTCCATAAATTTCCCAAGATGCTGAAAGGGAGAACTTGTGAGGAAAAGAGCTTCTTTGGTTGATAATCAGTTCCTTTATTCTTGTGAGTTTATTGTGTGATTCGGTGGTAATATTGCTTAGAGAAATTAGGTAATAGTCACTCTTAAAGATCAGAGGGTTAATTACTCCACGACCTACGATTTAAAAGGTTAATACCAAAACTTTTTATGTGGAGCCTGTTTCAAATAGTTAGTTTATTTCTTGTTAACCTGTTGTCCCCACATGGTAGGTGTATGATTGTCTCATTCTTCTTGTCACTCCTGATCCTAGAAAAAAATGGAGATAGCACTTAAAATTCAGGCAAAGAAAAATAATGTACAAATACAAATAGAAGTTAAACTTAAAACGACACTTCTTAACCCTTTACACTCTTACTTCAGTATGCATATTCTCCATATCGTTTTCGATAAATTTTCTAGGGCATTGGCAAGGAGAATTGTTTAACAATCAAGAGCTTCTTTGGCAGCTGATCATTTCCTTTCTTCTCCTGATCATAATCTCTGTGCCATTTTTGATAAATTTTCTAGGGCATTGGCAAGGAGAATTGTTTAACAATCAAGAGCTTCTTTAGCAGCTGATTGTTTCCTTTCTTCTCCTGACCATAATCTCCGTACCATTTTTCAATAAATTTTCTAGAGCATCGGCAAGGAGAATTGTTTAAAAATCAAGAGCTTCTTTAGCAGCTGATCATTTCCTTTCTTCTCCTGACCATAATATTTGATTCATGGGTAATATGATGGGAAGAAATTAAATGCAAGTCACTTATTTGGGTAAAAGGGTTAGTTGTACCCCTATTTCAGTCTCATCTCAACTGAATGGGGGGCACTTGGAACTACTTTTACCATATCACCCCAATAATTGTTTGCTATAACATAACATAGAACACACTTTTCCAAGTAACAGTGATGAATTAAGGTATACATTATGCGAATAACCATTCACAAAATGACCTAAATAGTTAGGGTAAATTTCCAGGAGCATAGTTGTATTGTGTTAAATTATTTTTAAAACTTTTGCATGGACACTTAAAAAATTAACAGTAAGGAACTGTTACTATTTTCTTTTCACTCATTACAATATTACATGGTTTTGAAGAAAAAAAGGTCTACATATTAACGCAGTGTTTCAGGCAGTGGCTTTCAAACTTTGAAAAAGAATTGATAGCAGAAACCAGAAACCAGAAACCTGAAAAGGCATTATAAATTATCAGATCATTTTTGGATTCTGCATTCAAAAGAAAAAAATTATGAGTGATGTGTTTGGTGTAATGTGTTGATTGAATAGGAGTGGAGGTTTTCCAGCAAAGGAACAGGTCCTGGTTTTTTAAAGGTCAGACAATGCTATCCACAGGATAAATCTCTACACAGTGGATAATCTCTATTAAAAATCTATCCGCTGGATAGCGATTTATCTGTTGGATAGAATTATTCAACCTTTATACAACAGGTAGTTAAGTTTAAACCTGACTGGTACGGACAATAAATAACCAAGCAACAATGATGCATTTGTTGAAAGATGTTTTTTTCATTGTGTCACAAACATGTGACAAAGAGAAATTTTTGAGTTCTAAGGGCAAAATTAATGTCAGACCACCAGATTTTGGACTTTGATGCTCAACCTTTTAGCCATATGGACTCTTCTATGAGGACAGTTGTTACTGGGTTCAAAGATAACACACCCACTGTATACTGCAATGCTAGGAGCCTCATGTGAGTAAATAATAATCCTAATAATATTAATACAACTACAACTTCTAATAATAATAATAATACAGAGGATTTATATGGGGCTGTTTCTACCGAGTATCCAACAGCACTTTACAATATTAAAAGTTAAATAATAAATTAATTAAGAATAGAATATCAATGAGAGTGAGAAAGAAATAGAAAAATTGAATAGAAAAACTAGAATAATAAAGACATAAAAATTTAAATTCAGTGTTTAGATGAAGAAAAATGTTTTTCATCCATAATAACACAAACATCATTTCAGACAAAATCTAGCTGGCTTGCCCTTGAATAAGGGAAATAACGCTAGTATAGAGTAACTTACCAGCACCACTGACTGTATCCATGATATACTTTAAAGGACCTTTAACGTACATCATTCCCACAAGAATACCAGCTAAATGACCAGTAAATGAAGCATTAGGAACAAGAAGCTGAATGACAATCAACTCCACCCAACAGGCCCACCTCATTGGTACTGGGAACATACCCATCACCATGGAAACACCAGAAGGAAGGTTGTACGTTGTAAGAACTTTAAGGGCAAAGATGACACCTGAAAAACCCGCAGCACAGGTGTACATGTAAGAAAAGTCCTCAGTTACGTTCGCCAGAACCATGTCTAAAGCAACAAGAACGGTGTTAGTTAAGGCAGTGAATACGGACAAGATGTACAGAAATTTCGGACTTCCCATCCTTGGTTCAAGCGACATGCCCTTCCAAACGAACGAGGCCATGTTGTAGTACAAATGAAAGTCGTTTAAGTGATAAAAGGCAGCGAAAATGATTCGCTTCCAGTCGCCATTGTACCAGACATGATGGGCACTAACACAAGCTTTTCCGAGAGATGGAAGGTTGTTCAAAAGCTGGAGATAAACTGCGACGTTTATACCGATGAAAGTCAGTGTTACAGGAGGAATCCTGTTAAAACCAATGTTGTAGAGCTGGCTGGCCAAAAATAACAATCCGATCCCCGGGGATCTTCTTCGCCCCGGCTGGAACATTGTTCATCATAAAATATCAGGAAGGAAAAGTTTCTTTCTGAAGTCGACCTTTGGCGTATTCGTTTCCCTTTAGCACGTCAAAATACAGGTGTAACTCAGTGGCCTTATACTCTATAGTGGCTCCCAAAAAGAAAGGCTCTTCTTTTATACTTTTGTTAATCTGACGTGTCAAAATTAATTTCGATTTCAAAATGCCTTACTCATCACTTTTTCAACCTGCCCGCCATCTTTGATAGACTCGTCTCAACCAGCACCAGTGTAGTGTTGAAAATTCGCTGAGGCAATCTAAGAATACCAAGAGACTTCTTCATTGAAATGTGACAGAAATAAAATACAAGGGCCAACACTGTTCTCTCGCGCTATGAAAGTGTAAAACTTTGAAATAAAAATAAATATAAAACCTACTCTCACCTCAGTGGGTTTACGCTCGTCTGTCGACCAGCGGAAATTTCCGATATTGCACGTCATATTTGACGAATTGAGGTATACCTAGCCTTCTCCTTAGTGCCTGCTCGCGGTGCACTCAGATCTCCTGACATCTGATACAATAATTTTAAGAAACGGTCGGGCACTTCACTCTTCGATTCAGTCATTCATCCAGAGGAGAGAAGGAAACTAGTATATATTTGGGGTTAGCTGGGGAGAATCCTCTATATAAGCTTTAATTTCATCTTTGATGCTACATACGGTATCACTGCTGAGGTAAGGTACTTGATTGCAATTTCATTCAGGCCCAAACTTTAACAGGTTTTTAAATAAAAAAAAAATAAAAGAAGAAAAAAAAAAACACCTGTGAACATCTGAAGATTGGTGAAAATCAAAATGGTTTCAAGAAATGATAAAATATCAACAACAAAAGTAAAAAAAACTTTTATTTTTCAGAATCTAGTACAATATCCTAGTCTACCCTTAATCAGGCAGATAGTGGATGCTGAAGGAGTATGCCTTATGTCACACGCCAGTCTGGACTTTGCACATATGTGAAGTGCGGTGGTTATTGTGTGATTACTGCTTGGCAGCCTATCAATCACTAATGCTTTGTGAATTCCTGACATGTCTTGAGTTCACAGAATTTACTCGGAAGGATATTAAATTATTCGTATATAAAATTTAGATTCCTAATATTTGGAGCACCACCAATATCGTCATTGAAACGATAGAACACCGATATTTTCTCGACGTTTCTCGCCTAGTTTTTGAGTAATCTTCGTTCTATCAAATATATGTAGCTTGAATCCGAAAACCAGGGTCGTAATTGTTTACCCTGACGACGATCTCGAGCTGATCACGTGAACTTCACGTGGCCTTCATCATGAAGGAACTATGATGTATGGCTGAAATGGAACAAAGGCGCCCTTTTCGTGACAGACAATGATCCACCTGGGTCGCACAAAGGCCAGGGAAGGGTTTTCATCGAGGGCCTGGAAACAAGAGGAAAAACAACTGGTTACGTTTATAAAGCACATCAAATAGACACTGTGGGAACAGTAAAAGACAATTATGAGTTTGGCTGACATGTGTCAATTTCCAGATTTTTAAAATTCTTTTAATTTCATACATAAACGAAGGTCTCTTTCCCCCGACCCCGCATTGAGAATTTGCGTAAAAAAGAATTCAATTTCCCTTCCTATTTTCAAGTCATTTCATCGGCAAAAATAAGTTCCATGTAATTCTGCATAATTACCTAGACTCAGAACAACAGATCGATGTTAGTCTTATTGTGGTAAGTATTGCTTGTAAAACAGTTGCTTAAGAACAAAAGGGAACAGCCAAAGTGCACACTTTACTTACCTCATCAAAGTTTTTGTCCCAATCCTCATTGGTTATGACAAAGTCGACATTATCATTCATATAATCTTCTATAGTTCTGCAGAGAATGTAACGAGGGACATCAAAGACAATCCCGAGGATTGAGAAGAATTTCCGAAAAGAGGATGGTGAGTCAGTTTTTTTGACGCCCACAAAAAGTGTTTCACAATTAAACAAATCCCTCACCCATTATAAGCAGTGATGTATCTTATCAACAGTCTTCTGGTCTTGCCATCAATTTCACCATACAGCATGAAATGCTTATGAGAGAAAAAATCAGGTAACAGGGGAAGGTCCTCTGAGCTTGAAATGACTTCGTCAGCAGACTCCGCCTTTCCTGCAAAAAAAAAAAAAAAACGGTGGAGGTCTGGGGACATGTTTTCTAAAAATTTCTTGATGTGATTTATGACAAAAATTGGAGGAGCGTAGAGAGAGATCGGCAACTCCTGGTACATGTTAATAATGAGCCCGTCAAAAATTCTTTCTCGAAAATTGAACAACGTTCTGAGGAGAAAAACAATTTTAGTTCTGATTTTGAATTTGCTGAGATCTTGTATTGATAGGAGCCATGAGTTTAATATTTTAATAAAAAAAAAAAGGATTCGAGGTGTTTCTTTGAAGGCCATCTTTTCCTCCCGTACCTTGTTCGTCATCAGTCGTACCGCCATATATATCTTCGCCTTCACCAGTTTCTTTTTGGATTCTACAAAAATAAAATCAATGAAATGAATACCCATGGTCAGAATACCCGCCAATGACACCTAAAACCTCCGAAGGGATGTTCGGTTAGGGCTTTTTTCAACTACGTATCGAATTGATTGACTTGGTTTTGCATTGCTAAGCCCTGTGATTGGTCAAGAAAACTCGCTCCGCCCCCTCAACCAATCAGATGCCGTATAAAGACACAATCACGACTTGATCACGCGCGTTTTCCCGCGCTTCAATCAAGTTCTTGGTTTTCACCAAAAGCGCATTAGCTTCTTGTATTCTTGAATTATTTTTCTTTTTTCTGAATGGTCGATGAGGATAATTTTAGTCGCCTTTTTACGACAATTAATTGAAATACGCATAACCATTTCTTTCCCGCCCGGTTCTTGTTGCCATTACTGTAGTGGCTCATTTGCTTTCAGGTTCTGGTATGCTCACCTTCTTAATTCATCCTCTGTATCATGATCACTGGATGAAGTCTCTTTTGGGCTCAAAGGAGATGGAGCAGTTTCATTTTTACCACTCTTTTCCGGTTGAGGTGATTCGTCGTCAGTTGAACCACCATAAATGTCATCTTCCTCCTCTAATTTCCCGGCTGCATCTTTAAAAAAAATACAGAAAACAGATTTGATCGAAGAAGCCTCGGCAAAGTTACAACAAAATCTAAACCGGCATTTACAATTACCCCATTTTTAATAGTTTTCAAATACTTTTTTTCGTCGCATGTCTGTGTTTGCGAAATGTTTCAGTGCTATGCGTTACTATCATTCTTCAAAGTAGAGGTTTGTTTCTGAGAAGTGAGTCAGCGTCTACGTACCTTTCTTTTCATTAGGACCCGAGACTTTTGCCACTAGAGTTTTATCGCTCTCTTCGGGAGTGTCGTCTTTCTGCATGTGAACAAATTAGAGTCGTTTTCGTTCAGACCAGATAGAGTAATTTTCGATTTCATGCTTTACATAACCAATGGGCTGACTGAGGATCCAAATGTTTTGTACCACACTTGAGTTGTATACAATAGAAATATTTAGCATCGCGTTTACATGAAACGGCAAACGTCATGTTTCACGTAAAATAGCGTAAACCTTTCTACTTTAGCTTTGCATTAGTTCATGTCACCTCGGCATTTGAAGGATTTTTAACGTAAAACTTCATCTGCCCTTATACGACTTATAGGAAATAGTTTTTGGTGCCCTTCTTCCGCCAATAAAATTCTACTCTGTAAAAGAAAAAGTGAAGAAAATTTTACACACACGGCAATCGTGGAACAGCTTATTTTCACGCAGAAACGCCAAAGCGCAACCCGCAAACGGGAAAAATGGCGGGACGTGGTTACGTGGTCACTCTTGCCCTTCACGTTTCACGTAAACGCGGTGCTAAATCTCCCTAATGATAAAAGTTCACGAGAACACGACCAGCAAATCACGAGCATCGCTTATCGCACCTTTGAATTCGCATCACTTGCTGGGGCCTTCTTGTAATTCCGCTCATTTCTGTCACTTCCTGTTTTAGGAGGCGGCCGTGCTGGTTTGGCATCCTCCCCTTCACTGCTTTCCTCAGATGAACTACTGTCGCCTGGTAAGTGGTAACTTACAGAAAAAAAGAAAAGTCATCAAGAACGTTAACTAATTGGGAGGAAAAGTCGATAATCTGTAAATCGGACGGAACTAGCCGGAATCGAGCGAAAGCGTCCAGATACGGACGAAAGTGGCGGAAACAGGACGGAAACCGACAAAACACTTTTTAACACTCACGAAACACAAAGGCAACGCTGCATAAGGGACATCTCCCAATTTCCTGACAAAAATTTTCTCGAGTCCTTAGTGAAATATGTGGCACAGGAGCGGAGTTACTTACTGTCGAGTGGGCAAGCATCTGCTTTTTTTAAAACAGTCAGTTATCCACTTTTTTGTGACGATCTTTCCTTTCCCTGAAGTTTAGTGAAAAAAAAATAGTGCAAACAAAATAAATCACATTATGACCTTTAACAAGTAAAGAATAAATCTTTGTAGGTTATGTGCAGTTCAAGTCATTGCAGAACTGAAATGAAGATTGAAAAAATTCAGCCGTCAACAAGGATGAAGCCCTTAGCACCCTGCTTATGTTTACTTTAACCTTTACACCATAATATCACCAGGACCTAGTTTAGTTGGTGATCATTTCCTTTATTCTCATGACCTGATGTTTGATTCAGTGGTGATATTGTAAGGAGAAAGTAGAGGCTGCTGACGATCATGAGTCAGAAGGTTAACTTCGCATCCAAAACTCAACTGTATTTCTTAAGTCACTGACACATACTTGAGATTTAGCGTAAACAACAACTAACCTTTTACTTGGTTGAACTTTGGAGTGTTAGCGAAGGCACAACTACAAAAGGAGAAACATGGGCTATAAAAATTCATTGAGTCCCTTTATGCTACACCGTGTATCTTTACGGATCTTACCATTTTCAGATTATCCTTGATTCGGAAAAGTAAAATATCGTTGAAAAGGATCCTACATTCTTATTCATGAGTGGACGGAGATGCTGTAAGAGCGTGCGCCAAAAAAGGTTCAAATTTAGAATACCTCTGGCTTATCAACCAAGTTTGAGGTCCACGCTGTAAGTTGAAAATTGAAGGCGGGCAAAAAGTGTAAGAAGTACGAGGACGAGGCTAATGCCTAAATATATATTACTACATCTCTATTGTAGGTCTGACGGCTTTGAAAAAAAAATTTCTAGCTCAGTACACCCAACAGTTTCACATGACTGACGCACGTCGATAGCCAAACGCATCATTTCGAAACCGTCGTACACCCATTAGCACTTTTTAACCCAGAATGTAAAGAAGAAGAAAGATAAACATTTTCATCTACAAAAGGTACTATCAATAGCAAGACTGCTTTGGCAACAAAACAGTTTTAAATGTCAGAGAACCGTAACCGTGCAGAAAGCAGGGTACGGCTCGCTAAGTCGACTTATCACAGCATGCCTCTTACATCAGATGAGTGCATCCTTTTCCCCAGTCCTGTCTGTACTGCGCTCCCATCTGCAATGCCTTTTCGCGAAGATTACCTCGCTCAGGGTTCACAAATCCACTCATAACAAACACTACGCCTTTCTTAAAGAAACCAAAAAACAAATGTATGGAGCAATAAGAGACCCATTAGAGCCTATAATAAACTGTTTGTTTAAGAATGAGGTCAAAGCACAAACAAGCTGAAGCGTGAAGTGTGGATTTTACAATTAAGCCGAACGTTACCATAATTTCACCAAAAGGAACAGAACTTTCGTCACGTATAGGAGAGTCTGAAAAAAAGCAGCAAAAAGTTATCTATTGCCTGGTAATTTTGTCACCGGTTTGCCTTTTCTATAAATGTTGTGGAGGTGTCAAAATGAATACAGTCGTAAAATAGGTTGTGGTTTTTCATCTTGGTAAATAACAGATCAAAAGAGAAATAAAAGCGTTTGTCTCACGATGTGGTCGCTTCAGATATGGATCGCGACCTTTCGACTGCATACTGCTGGTCTTCTTCAGACGGTCATGGTGAAACAATTTTGAAAAATTCATCTCTGGTTATGTCATTTTACCTCTTTTTTTCTTGGATGGTGGTGCTGGTTTATTATCATTTTTCCCTTTTGGTGAATCTTCATGCTTCCGTTTGGTGCTCTGAAAGACAAAAATATAAAAACTTCAATTAACAAGCGTTCACCTAGCACAATACTTCATAACGCGACTCTATCAGTATGCAAAAATCCCGAGCAATTAGTAAAAATCGAGGGCGGTTTCAAGACAGAATAGTGAAAAATTAACAATTAAATCCAAATTCCTCGAGTGGCAAGTGAACCACGGCTGGTTAATTCAACGACCGAACAGAACAAAATAATGTAAAACCTATGCGGAGGCAAAAAGATTATTCAACGTAAGGAGACAGTCGTCCTGACCGCGTGAAAACGTGATTGATCAAGTAACTGAATGGAAAACTGGTGCAACTCTTCTAACCGATTACCGAGCACAGAGAAACAAACCAATTTCCAAATACTTTTAATCACTCTCAAGTAAGAACCTACCTCGCTTGTTTTCCTATGAGAATACCTCTCGCCCGGTTTTGGGGAAGATCTACCACCAATTTTGTCTGCTCTGCCTCTGGCCACTGGTTGTCTGTCCGAGGCTACTGAGTGTGTCTCTCTATCCCCTGACTGTCCATCCTTTGTTGATGGGTGCCTGTGATTCTGAGCAGTGCTGGCAGCAATTGTTTTCTTGTCGACTGAAGAAATGACTGCTGATGCTGCTGCTCGAACTTCAGCTGCAGTGGACATGGATGGCGGAGAGCTTTTCTTTTGAAATGTTTTGAAAAAGAGATTTCCAGAAGAAATTTTTTTCTCTTCAGTGTCACTATCGTCTTTTAATGTAAAACGTCCAAGTCTCTTTGAAGCCTGAAATGATTTTAAGGGAAATCATGATCATATTGGTCAGAGCTTTTCAAAAAAAGTTAGCCATGTTGTGCTAAAGAATGAGCCAGGAACATGATATAAATGAACCATATTTGTCAAAAGAAGTAAGCCTATCACCAGAAAGAACATTTGAACATCAAAACATTTACTAAATCTAAGAACTACTGGCTTGACTTCAAAGACATCCTACACTAAAAAAAAATTGGTTATTTAAGAGAGCTTATATGGTTGGCAGCCCATAATAAGCATTCTTATCAGAGTGAAGCAGTGAGTTATGCTTCGACATAGGAGTAGAACTTTTTACTTTTTTTGATCTCAGGGATTTACATCTTGCAAAATTCTCGTGAAGTTCAATTTAATTTTTATTTATGGAAATCAAGATTGCATACAAGTAAGGCTATAACCTACTTTAAAAGAAGAAAATAATCCTTCACATACTATTTCAATCTGTATTGAAAAGTCTCGCCAAGGAGCCATGCAGAGAGATGTGAAGCAAAAAGTTCTTTGTCACAGTGGTGATTTTTGATACTCACTGTCACTGGAGTATGAGGCATTGCTTCCTTTGTGGCTTGAGAGTCATCGTCCATGTCATCAGGAGGAGAATGGAGGTTTATGAAGGACAGACCATAACGTTCATTCTAAAGAATGGTGAAAAAAAAGCTATTATAACATATTGCATTTTGGAATTTTTATTGATTTTGGAATTTTTTACAGATGATTTCATTAGTTTTGCATTTTTTTTCTATTTTTGTTACATTTTTATTTTCCTCTGCTGTTAAGTTAAGGTTAGGTTCTATTTCATTACCAAAACCAACAATGTGTATTACCTTGTTAAATGGTTGGGTGCAAACCAACTTGACCCTGTCCCACTTCTGAGTTGCTACTGGTTTGGAGAGCTTATCAACACCTGATGAAGGAAGAGGAGTATTTTAAGTCTAATAATTAATTTCAAATAAAACAAATAGAATAAAAATGAAAAGTGGTAAAATCAGACAAGCTCAAAGTGACATGGGCATGGGAATCATATCCTAATTTAGTAACTGAGAAAGTAGGGTGACCATAAATCTGTAAATCACAAGAGAGATTTTGTAAGTAACTTCTCCTAACCATATCAAAACAATGTCCTGCAGACAGGTGCAGTGGTCTCCCTTATTTTAAGCATGACACTTAAAATAAATGTTCACCTGGGTAGAGCAATGACCAGCTCAACTTTTAAGATGTCCAAGTGATTTTAGGTGGTAATGAGAGGTTCTACAAGCTATTAATTTTACTGGTTAAAAAGGAGAAAACTGCAAGTGATAAGAATAATTAAAATTATCAATTTTAAGACAGTCTGTTGATTTAGAACCAAATCATCAATTGTGTCATAAGATGTAATGTAGTATGTTTGACTGTCTTTTTACCAATTTAATGGCCCAGGCTGGATGTTGGGAGAACACGACAAACCTTTGTGAATCACCCGCCCCTGACTGGTGATTTGCAAGCTTTGGTTGTGTTCTCCCGCTATATCAGGTAGGTTATTGCACTAGTAAATCAACAGAAAAAGTGGTCTATTACTATATGTTTACCGGTGCAATAAATGATACTGAGGTTTTTGACTAAAAAAAAAAGGGCGAAGTTCCCCTCTGAGAGAGGGTTACTAGAGAACAGTAGAACAATGAAATATTCTTTGCCAAACCCAAACTCTGATGCAATCAAACATGATGAATAGATAGCTCATGCTAACCAAACATCCTCACTCTATTGATACTGGTAAAGGATTTACTTTCAGCTGGGCTCATAAAGGACGATGCAACAAGAAGAACCTAAAAATAGTACATAAAATTCATCAAATTCAAAACTTGCACCTCTGGATACAGTCATGTAATTCAATAAACTTCATATCTGGTTTAAATCTTGTATGATCTTTTAATGAAATTTTCAAAACACTTGGAAATCAATTTTCCATTATACGTTTTTTGCTGGTTTGTCTCCCATTATCCATGTCCTTTTCCCTAGCAAAGCTTCCTATCATTGGCTGCCTTTTTATCCAAACAATTGATAAACTGCAGTCATTTGAAGCATTTAAACCAAATCTAAAACTGTGCACTTGTTTTTGACTGCACAAGATGGAGTACATAGTAGTATCCAATAGAAGAAAACAAACAAACAAACAAACAAACAGAATGTAACAGAATAAAACTAGAGCAAAAAAATTATTTAAAAAACTTGGACTTCACCTGAAATTGTTCATCAGGGCTCCAAGAAGATCTTCCAACTAACACTTCCACAAGTGCTGAACCATTGTTACCTAGACAGTAATGATTTATGTTGAAGTAACTGAAAGCGATAAACCCCCCTCATGATTTCAATATATTATCTACCAGACAGATGATTAAAATGAACAAACTTGATGACTGGAGCATATAATCTAAACAAACTTAGGTAGAAATGTTTGGCAGCTAACATGGAAACAAATTAAAGGACCTCTTGTAAGGATATAAACAACACCATCCCGGAAAAAGATTACAAACAAGTTCAAGCTTAGAGTTTAATGAGTGCAACAATTATATCATTCCCTACTTCAAGAAGCGACAGGTACCAACCTATGTCAATGGAGTGTATCTGCGTTGCTTTCTCAAGCTATAGTGGAAAAAAAACATTCAATTCTTAAAATCATACAAGAGCATTCAAAGTATTACCAGTCCATGCGAGCCCGCTAAGTCCTAACACAGAGAGTACAAATAACACCGACACTCAATGGGTTTGAAGTTACACAAATATCATTTTCACAAAATTTACCTCCAAAATAACAGAAGCTTGTTTCTCTCCTGGAGATGCACACCTCCATTTCCTATACGTTTCTGATTTAAGTAGGTTTTGTGCTGGTTGTGTCTAGGAATAACAAAGTTGTGAAATCAGGATTTTATTTATGAAGGGGAAGTTGTTGATTCAACTTCTAGATGTAGCTGCTTTTCACAAGTAAAGTGAAACATTTCGAACTTACCACATCTTCGCTGCTGAAGGATAACACATGCCTGGGACGAATAAGAGGCATGACTTAGCCTCTATCGTTTATTTGACTGACAAATCGTCAAATTTTATAAACGCAGCAAATTTAGACGTGGTTGTTCGTTAAATGCAAAACTCACTCAGGCGTTCCTTGTTCTGCACGGTTGAGCTCTGGACTCCAGTTTTTTTACGTCATTTTCCCGCCAACTTCCTGTAGGCACGCGCCGCTGGCTGCTCTACACGCTGCCACTACATGTGACTTTTCCGCATGCTCAACCTTCGCCAGAATCTTGCAGAAAAACCCTCTGGTGAACCACATCCCTTCTTGGAAAACTCCTTTTCTTCTATTCTACAAAAATGTCAACAAATAGACGATTTTACATAGGTAAGTGGAGGCAACTGTCCGTAAACTGGAACTAAATACATTGGCATAACAGAGCCTGTTCAGCTTGGAACGAGGTTGTTTGTTGTGACAAGCGTTCACGTGGTTTGTTCTCAGCTCCCACCCGTCTTGCTTTTAAACGGCTTTTTTATGTTTGTGAAGTCGTATTCATGATTTTCGCGCAATTATGTGGCTACGAAATCTCCTTCGAATTATTTTGCTTTGTTGCCGTGTTTGTCACAGTTTCGAAATTAATTGAGACAGATAAGCCTAAAAATCACTCCATGAATTTAAAACAGCTGCAAGCACTCTAAGATGCCACAGAAAGCGTTTTCAACGGCATGAAAAGTCCATAGGTTTATTAAAACAACACAGAGAGGATTTCAATCTTGGCCCCTAGCATGTTAATTTCTCTTTAGCTCGCAGTGAAACATGAAACTGCATACAACACTCCATATATGTGCAAACGCCTCTTTACGTGCGTTCATGCACAACACTTCAATACGTGATGTTCACGTTACTTGAAGATTAAGTTGACTTCTTACCTCACAAAAAGGCAATGGCTTCAGCATTCCACATCACAACATTAATGTTTTCACCCTGAAGTCAGATTTAAAATGGATTTAACAAACTCACATCCAGTGTTAACACATGCCTATAAGCTAATTTCTCATTCCATTCCATTTCAAGAATTTTAATTTGAAAATAGCATGCCTTTGAATCAAATCAGCAGACAGGTACACAAAATATTTTCAAAATACCCTTGGTATTCTAATTGAGCTTTGCATTGCAACTGTCTGTTATTGTCTTTTCCTTGTCATTTCCTTGTCATTTCCTTGTCATTTCCTTGTCATTTCCTTGTCATTTCCTTGTCATTTCCTTGTCATTTCCTTGTCATTTCCTTGTCATTATCCATACTTTGTTTAATTTGTAGGCAATCTCTCTTTGAAAGTGACTAAAGATGACCTCCGCCGTCACTTTGGTTTAGACAGCACACCTTACTTGAGATCAAATTCATGGATTGAATTATCTGTGGAACGTCCAGGAATGTCTCATGGGTTTGGATTCATTAATGTACCAGAGCAACTGGCAAGTAAGTTTTGAGTGTAATAGTGAGAAGTTAAGTCTGTTCACAAGCCAAGTGGTAAAATGGTACTTAATACAGTACACAGAACTTGAACTGTGCCATCACCTTGCTTGCAAACTTGATAAAACTTTGAGGCTTTATTGTATTCCAGGTCACTTACTTCAGCTGAATGGAACAAAACTTTATGACAGATTCATCAAAGTTGAACCAGCTAATACTCAAATGGGAGGTCGCAGGAGCAAAGTCTCTATTCCTTCAATGTTTCCATCCTCATATGTAATGCCAATTCCACAACTGGCTAACTATCCCTATGGAATGAACCAGTATAGTAATAACATGAAGGGTCGACGGAACAGGCGACTTCCTCAAGGGCCAAATGAAATAGTGACTGTTCCAGAAGATAAAATTTTACAGCTTATTGATGTTGGTGTCAATCTGCCAAACAAGGCGTAAGTCAAACTAACTAACTTTGTTATATGGCCAGGCAGTCCTGAGGTAAATCACAAGTGTTCAGTTTTCAGACCAAAGATGAACTTTTTCAAATCATTTGACATTCTCTGCCAGAAAAAAATTAAAACACAGAAAATCACTTAGTAACAAAATAATAACTTCTTTGTTGGAGTAGTTTTCATTCTATTTTTTAAGGATGTAAAGTTTTATGTAAGCTATGTTTTAAAATCAACGTGACTGTTATTTTGCATTTCACTGCAGATTTTCAAGAGATATACGAAATGTCATAGAACAAGCGGATTTAGTGGGAATAAAAAAAATGATTTTAACAGGGAACACTTTACAGATGAGTCAGTCAGCTGTTCTTCATGCTAAGGCACATCCTCATGTCTTGTATGCATCTGTTGGTGTACACCCTCATTTCACAACAAAAGAATGGAATGAAAAAACAGCCAGGAGATTGAAGAATTGGCAAAAAGACCCGGTAGTTGTTGCTATTGGTGAGGTTGGTTTGGACTTCCACAGAAATTATTCAGATGAAAAGGCCCAAGTTGAAGCATTTACAAAACAGGTAAGCCCTTGGGTATTTAGTTCATTGAAATCGTGGACAAAACCAGCAATAACGATTTCTTTTTGATAACACAACAGGTTGAAATTGCTTGTGAGGTTCAGAAACCTCTCTTAGCACATGAGCGGGCATCGCACCAGAAGTTTATTGAGGTGTTGAGTCACTTCAGTGGCAGGTTGCCTTCAATTGTGATTCACTGTTTCACTGGTAGTGTCTCTGAAATGAGTGCCTATGTTGCCATGGGATTTTACATTGGAATTTGTGGCTTTATTTGCAAAGGTTAGTTGAACTGAGTTTCTTTTGAGGGCACTGACTAGTTTATCCAAAAGTCTATACCTGAACTGAGTGGCCCACAAGGGAGCTTATCTTAGTCTCCATGAAATGAAGCAACCAGCAGTTTTGTTACTCCCTTTGGGCGAAGGCTTTTTCAAGCATCTATTTACATTATTGCATAGAGAGAGGTGCTGTGAGAGTGATGTGTCTTACCCAAGAACTCAGCAAAATGACCTGGCTCAGCTAAGAACCCAAACCCTTAGACCTGGAATTAACCATTAGGCCACCATGCCTCCTTCCAGTAAATCCTTACTTGTGAGTTAACCCTTGTGAATTTGATTATCTGATACTTCAAATTCCCTCACCTTCTTGAAAAAAAAAAAAAAAAAAAACTTATATATTTTTGTTTCTTATAGGGTCATTTTCTTCAATACTTTAACTTCTTTAAATTTTTGCGATATGATGACATCATTAGTTGTCTTATCCTGAGAATATAACATTATATACTTGCAATAATCCCTTGGTGATGATTTTCTTTTTGCTTTTGGCTAAAAACAGTGGAAAAAAAGTAAACAAAGATCTTTAGTTTACCCACCCAAAAAGGAATAACTAAAAACTTTTTCCATGGTTGCAGATAGTCCAGGCAAAGCATTAAGAGATGCTCTTAAAGAAGGTGTTTTACCACTAGACAGGATTCTTCTTGAAAGTGATGCTCCTTATATGATTCCAAATGCTCCTGAGAAGGAGTTGGACGATGTATGCAAATCACTTCTTAAAAGGTGTCAGCCAGGACGGAATGAGCCTTGTACTCTTCCTATTGTGGCCCACACTGTTGCAAAATGTCTTGGGGTTGATGCTGAAGAGGTAGCACGAGCATCGACTGAAAATGCAAGGCGGGTTTTTGACCTGAAGTTACCTGTTCCTACCACACAACCTGCACCCACTGCCATTGGGTCTGAATAAATGCTGCATTGTACAAAGACAATAAAAACTACTGCACATAGTCTAAGTATATAACATGTATCTATCTCTTTCAGAATGAACATTATGATACATGTAGTCATGCTTAGGCAGTTGGTTATTATCTATGCAGGAAGGATTGGTAGTAAAGGCTCTTTCCTTCTTAATTAAAGCAGAATTAAGTCATTATTCATGCTAAACCTGCTGCCAGACCTTCAGAGAAGTTTTCACTGGTGGTACCTGCTTTACAATTCCCCCAACTTAATATTTTTTTTGTCTTAAAAATGCCATTTGTTGTCTAAAAAATCCAATCAGACATGGAAGTGGAAAGGAAGTATTTGAAAGATTAGTAATCTGTTACTTTACTAGGTCATTTTTGACAGAGTAAAGTGAAAATGCAAGACGAAGTCAGGAGTTATGCTGACTGATTATTGTGCAATAGAATTAACCCTTTAACTCCCTGATTAAATTTGTAATTCTCCTTACTGTCAACCATACAATTTTTATGTTCAGAGAATTTAGTATTGGATCAACCAATTATCCATAAAGTTATATTTTTCTTTATTCTCATCACTTATCTGATTGATATTGTAATGATAATTTAAGGAGAAATTCTGTCTTGATCACTCATGGGAGTCACAGGGTTAATGCAGTGTCTCAATGATTATTGCAACATGTTTTAAATTTATCCTCATTTATAGCCAAGCTAAGGAATATTTTGACCCATTAATAGGTTAAGTATAAACAGTTCTAATTTTGACAGAGTTAAAAAGTGCAATTGAAGAGTATATTCGAAAGTTAACTGAAAACTATAGATAACAATGTTTCAAAGATGTTTAATATAATGTTTTGTTTATTTACAAAAGTTAAAAAGTTGAAAAGAAAGAAAAAGCACCATCTACAGAATGCAGTTAACCATCTTTTCAGTCTTGTAAAGCTAGAATACTTCTTAAGGTGTCAGGATTTTGCTTTTTTCTACAGACAGTTGTGTTTGCTAATGTACTGTGTATTCCATCCAAGCAGATATTTAAGTATCATCCATACAAAAGGTGTTTTTGTTAAATATGAAAAGAAAGCAACCATTAAACTTTGGTGTCAGTTTTAAATCTTGGCTTACTTAATCTATTATCTCTATTATTGTCAGTGGCATGTGAATCCAAAGAGGCTGAATTGTTACTCTTGTTACCTCTGGTTACTGCAAAGTAAGTTGCTTTGTTAAAGAAAATGTGAAATAATTATTTTTATTACAGGTATTAAACATTGTTGATGTTTAAAGTGAAAGTTGAATTTTATAGATAAGCAACATGGTGTAATTTTTCTCAACAGATTTGTATGCTTGTGAGGGTTTTTGTTTTTTTTCTGTGCCTACTGTTAGAGTTGTTTGCTCCATGATTTATCTCCCCTCCTTTTGAATATAGTGGAAAACTGAATCTCTAGTTATTGTCAGTGAAGTTTTTTTTAGTTAGGACATTTGGATGAAACTGAAATTTTTAAATTATGTCTGATATTGCAAAGAGAAGATCCAAAGCATTCCTATATAGAAACATTGAGTGTTCCCTGAAAAGTAAAATGCCCCTTTGGAATTTGAAGTGGTGGAAGATTCCATAGTGTGTCTTTACTCAGGAATGATCTCAATTTCCTTTATAGTAGGTGTTTATTTCATCAAAAATGCAAATTAATTACAGCATACAACAAAAGGGTCTAAACATGGCTGCTTAAAATTCTAACTTTCTTAAGATGGATTGGACAAAAGATACATCAACAAAGCCTATCTCCATATCCATGTGGTAACCTTTTACATCCTAACATCAGTCTGCAGATTCTCCATACTGTTCCCATATGTTATCTAGGGTGTTGATGAGGAGACTTTGTTTAACAATCAAAAGCATCTTAAGTTGGAGATTATTTCCTTTATTCTGGTGTTAATGTTTGATTCAGGGGTGACATTGAAAAGGAAAATAAGATGCAAGTCACTCTTGGGAGTCAAAGTGTGGATAGAATGCTATACAGAAGAGCAACTTTAAATTAAGTTTTTAAACCATCTTTAGTTTGTCTTTTCAAAAGATAAAACTCATTAGCTAAAAGATGTTTGTGAACTCTTACCTGTTTCCAATGTTTGGTCATTTTTTTTTTAAATTTGTGTTTGGCATTATAGTGCGAATTTGATATTGGCTTAAACAACTTCTTCAAAACCGTAACAGAAATGTTGTACATGCCAGTACCAACGCTGGCAGTTAAATGTTGAAAATACATCTCTTATTTTCTTCCATTAAACACAAGAAGTTAACTTTAATTTTCACTTGAGGTCAGTAAAATTTTTCTTACATATCTCTTGACAAATGCACAATGATTAGGTTTGAAGTTCTTGAATCACCAATGAAAACTTTGAAACACAGGGTACATCTAGGGGGGAAAACCAAAGGTCCAACTTCTCATTAACCTTGATGTTCAGCTCTTAAAGTGAGAAACTGTCGGAGGAAATCTTCTCTCAGAAATGTTGCCTTCTTTTCTAGCCACGTGGTTAGTGGTCACCAGTTATTTTCTAAAAAGGCTCTTGGGATCGCTGAGGGTTCAAATTCAGTGCTGATGGGTTATAAGCAAAACCCTACAAAACAAATAAATTAAATTAGTAAAAGACCCTTCACTAACTTAGGCTTTAGATTTAGATAAAACTGTCATCTTTTTGTGTTGTAACCCTTTTATCAGTTGCTCTTGGTACCTTACGGCTTAACATCAATATGTATATTCTCCTTACTGTTCTCTATACATTACCTTTTGTACTGACAGGGAGAATGTGCTTTATAGTTAATAGGTCCGTTAGTTACCGATCATTTCTTTAATTCTCATGACCTAAAATGTTTGATTCAGCATTAAATCTGCAAGATAAATATGCAGCTAGTCACTGCTAGGGGTTAAAAGGTAAGTATTACCTGAGAGTAAGGTGCAATGTAGTTAGGAGAATCCATTGGTGGATAACCTAAGTACCACTTCGGCTGTTCCGGGATCACCATTCTGTGAAACCCCTGGGGATTGATGGTGACGTTGGGTGGGGCACCAGGACTCAAATTCTGCATCCGTGGGGAGCAGTGTAGGTAACCAAAGTAAGGAAGGGGTGGATTAGACAGGTTTGTGCATTCAGGGAAATGTCTTGACTGCTCTTTTGCTAAGCCAGGAGAACTCCGTTTGGTATCCAAAACTCCTCCCGTGTTTACTGTTTTCGGCAGATAGCTCACTGTGGGGGTTGGATCATGTCCTGAGAATGATTAAAAAGAAACACCATCTATGTTAACAACCGAAGTCTAACAAGGGTAATGAATCAGTTGACCACCACGTGTCTACGACTCAGATTCACCCTATTTCTTTTGAAATCCTTCAGTCTGTGTAAAGTCTGAAGTCGATTGCCAGCCGCTTGTCGCAAAGCTTTCTCTGTGTTTCTTCAATCTTTTTTTTTTCTTTTTTATTTACCATGTTATAAAATTAACTGCAACTGTTGGCGGTGTTGTTTTTCAGCTTGTTACCGACATATCATTCCTAGCAGCCAAAAGTCTCATCAAAATCTCGTTGAAAATTAAAGTGAATTGAAGTTAATGTTCGTCATTCTGCTAAGTTTAGTTAGTTTGTTTCTTTTTTTTTTTACTGTGAACTTGAGGAAAAAGACAAAAATACGAATGATTTTTATCTGCATTGGAGAGTTTTTGTCGGTGTCCAGACAGCTCGGCCTCAGTACGTGCCCACACTAGATAATGATAACGAACGGTCGAAAGTTCATAGAGCACGAAGCAAAGACCATTCATAAATCGTTACTCTTGTTTGCGATGCGAATATTTTATTGTTAACATTTGATTTAGATCGCACGTTTTAATGAGTGATTTGGATCGATTAACAATTTGATTTGAGCTGATGACCAGCAATTAATGGACACCTTTTTTTGAAGGGGAATGGATACGCAAACGCATTTTTCTCTTCATTTATATTGTCCATGTCGCATCGTGTAAATGCTGTTTTCTTTTCAGGATGTTTACACTTAACCTGTACTTTTGTTAGTCAGTGCCTTATTTTCAACTTTTTTTGGAGCATGATTTATAAGGAAAGAACTCCAAAGTAACTTAACTCATTACCAACACATATCAACTGTAAACAACGAACCATTTCCTTGTGAGAGCGAAGTGGGATGGGCATCCGCTTTGGCAGGTTCAATAAAGGGTTCCTCCATGTTTTTTTTCTCGGCAACATCTGCCTGTTTAGTTTTCTTTGCAGTTTTTTTCTTCTTGGACGATTTCTCTCTGACTCCCTCTGTTTGACTTTCCGGTTTCATCGAAACCAAGCGTCTCTCCAAAATTAAAATACAGTGCTTGCAGTTGCACATCTTGTAGGGGCATACATTTCTATGGCCCTTCAAAGGTACGGGTATATACCGTGGTTACGACAGCGCGTGCATTTGGGCTTCTGCCTTGAATCCGATCCTTTGTCTGAACAGGAGGATTTGGAGAGCATGATATTGGCCACTTACAGTTAGTGCAGAGAAGAAATACCACACCGACGAATCTTGTAGGAGGAATGAACAGAACCACGAGACAAAGCTTTGAAATGGCACTTTCAAAATTTGATTGACAGTTTGCAGCGGTTGTTTCGATCTGAAGGTTCCCAGAAGTACTCCAAAATTGGACGAACTTTAGACCTCTAAGGTCAGTGTTAAAGATTCCATCAGCAACTTGAAGGCACATAATACTTAACGTTTTTTATTTCTAATTATTTTTAATAAAATTTTATTCAGTTGATCTCTTTTGGTAAACAACTCCTTATTTGGTGAAAGGAAGCCCTTTCACTGCTTGTGGTGCAGGGTACAAATTGATGTTTTTCTTAAATTGCTCGTTGTGTAAGTAGATGCGTTCATGAGCTCAACCATTACACAAACACGATTCTTTAAAGGGAAAGTTCTATACCTTTTGAACTGACCGAGAAAAGTTTCTGGTGATAGCACCTTGCGCCAAAAACGTACTTAGACAGATAAGACTCGTGTCTGTTACCACAAGATCGGCAGAATTGAGACTGCAAAACAATTAAATTAAGTTTGCAAGCGAGATGGTTTTCGCTCAGGGATCGTTGTTTTAACCTTTTAAATATAATATGACGGAGTTACCTAAACTATGATCGTAATGGAACGACTTAAAAACTTTTTTAAAATCATTTCCATAAACAACATTTTTATTTACACCTTTGAGTAGTCGGCTACCTCGATAAGTTTCATTGAAATTGAGTTTGTTTCAGAAAGTTCTCAGCAGCTCTATCACTTTTCGTGGCAAATCTTCGAAAATTTCTACATAATTTTAACTAATTCGCTTCAAACCTCTTTAGATCAACAAGGCAGGTTAGAAGGCGTAGACACTAATGACGTCACAGACAGTTACCGGTTCACCTTTATCTGCTGTTTTTCTGTTAAGATTTTTTTATACGGTGATAAAAAAATTCAGGTAGGTATTACATTTTTCGAGCGGGAAAAAAGTTAGCCAGCGTTGCTTTCCCCTGCAATTTGTTTTCAACCCAGCGAAGCCTGCATCTTAACGATTGCGATAACACTATACTTTCTGACTGACCTTTCAACTCAGGAAAAACGTTACAAAAAGATAGTAATGTTTTCCAAAAGGTGTATCATTCTAAACTCCTCTAGCTGTTTCCACCTTTGGGTAGTAAACATAGAGTGCACGCCAAGCACTATGACTACGTTGTTCAATTGCTGAAAAACGTTGCCAGTTGTTGAGACTGACCCGTGGGAAATTAGAAACAATTTAGTGCTGTCTCTGTTAACAGTGATAGTTCTCTAGAAATCATCAAGTCTGCATCTATAGTCTATTCTCTGAGCCCGAAAAATAAAGAGAACCATCTGTTCACATTGTGATGCTAAACCGGGTTGTATCTGTATACCACTTCGGCCCGCTCCTCTGGAAGAAAACAGCCCGATCTGTGTGACAATACTGTCACTGGGGAAAAAATCAAACGCACTTTCTTTTACAACAATAATTTTATTTGGAAGACTGCAAGTAAATCCTTGAAACAAGTTCCGTGCATAAATCAAGTCGTTCCGAGTTGAAAAACAATTTGCAGAAAAGAACAAAAAGTGGTCACTTTAGTGACATGGCGTCCTTCCCCGCCGTGTTTATCGGGTGTTTCTCGGACAGGTAAACTGTTGACGACGAGCGTGCCTCGCATGGTCATCGTAAAAATGAAGAGAAAGAAGGAAAATTACTTAAAGAACACACTTTGTCCATGAGAGATGGCAAAGATCGCACTTCATGCGTGAAATAACTTTACCCTTCCTTCCCCTTGTGCGCTACCCATACAGGCTTCAACTTGTCACGCGTCACAATAGAGTTATCTTTCAATAGAGTACAGTATAGGGTAAAAAAAGCCGCTTCGTTTTTCTTTCTCCTCTTTTGGATTCATTTCTTCTTCTTTTTGCTCTTTTTTCTGGAAGGTGATCTTGAGCGGGATCTCGATCGCTTCTTTCGGGACGAATTTCTCTTAGAAGGTGAGCCACTTCGTGACCTGGAACGTTTACGCCTCTGCTTGCTGCCGGGAGAGCGACTTCGGGATCGGGACCTTGCTCGCCCGCGGGATGAGCTCCGGCTGCGGGATCGCGATCTTGACCGTTTGGAATTCGAAGGCGAAGGTGTGCGTGACTCGTAATGCTTCAAAGACTAAGAACAGAAAAAAAGAAATTATTAGGCGGATGTTTAATAAACAAGGCTGGCGGGTTAATGTTGATCGTTTCAAAATCCACTGAAAATTTTTTTCAAGAATCTTCACGCCAAAGTATCAGAACCTGTAGGGAAGTAGTCAAGGGCGATCCGCTCCTCTCGGGAGATCTCGAGGTCGAACGACTCTCAGAGGACTGGGACCGCCGAGTTCGCTTTTTGGCAGAAGGGGACTTAGATCGACTCCGAGACTTCTTCCGGCGAGAGTCGGATGGTGAATTTGTGTGGCTGCTTCCTTTCTTCTTCTTATCTTTTACTTCTTTTGGTTCAATAGCCTAATAAATAGAAGTAGTAAGAGACTGAGGTTGAAAGCTAAAATTGCCAAGAAGAGAGAAAAAAATGTAATGAAGTGGGTAGAGTTGTTTGCTATATGAGGGCATCACTCACTTCCAGTAACTTGGCCCTGAACACATCACACTGTTGAGCAATGTCGCTCGCTCCTTTTGCTTCCAGTTTCTGGGCATACGTTGCAACTTTGAGTTCGATTTCCCGAAGCTTTTTCCGTCTGCTTTCGTCAATTTCCGCTACTCGAGGGGTCTCTGCGGAGGCAGCTGAAGGCTCCTCGGGTCTTTTCGGAGAATCGTCTTTGATGGCGGGTCTAAACGAACGTATCATGAAAGTCCTTAATTAAATCTTATCAATTTGAAAGCGAGGCTGGCTTTTTTTGCGCCAAAATACATAAGACCTCTTCTATGAAAAGAATATGATTTGGAACCTCATCCCTCGTGTGCATATTACTCACTCTGGTAAAGGCTCCCGCTCTTCAACCGTCTCCCATTCAGGTCGATCCCATTTTGACGCAACGTGAGGAACATCTAAAAGAAATAAATGATACAGAAAAATGAGAATGGGATTGTAAGGGAGTCCCTGTGCATTAGAGAATGAGTCAAAAAGGAAATATAACTATAAATCGCCGGAAAATGGTCAGGCAGACTTCTTTAGAGAAGAGTTTCTCTGGTAAGGATTGTCTAAATCAGCAAGTCTATCAACTTAACCATGCAAAAAATGCATTAATTATTATTATTATTATTATTATTATTATTATTATCATTGTCATCATCGTTATCATCATCATCATCATTATTATTATTATTTTTATTATCATCATCATCATCATTACCATTATTATTACAGCCAGCTCACTACTACTCGTTTAAATCACTAAATACAATTTTGCCGAAACAATATAAACTGTCTTTAATCTAATATGAACACTGGTAGCCTAGAAAACTAACAACAACTTGTCAAAATCGCTTTGAAGCTAAGGTGAACATTATATTAATTATTTTTAATAATAATAATAAAGAAACATGGAAACGCAGGAAAAAGTACAAAAATCTCGTGAAATCCTGACCTTTATCTCGCGACTTGTCGGAACTCTTTTTGCCGTCCACTGAGGTAAGGAAAAAAAGAGGTCACGTGTTTTGAACAAATTCTCCGAAGTAACATCATAAGAATTGTATAACAGACAGTAAGGAGAATTACTAACGAGATCTTGGGAGTGAAACAGTTAATAATCCACTTACTCGGCTTTCCGTCAATATCATCACTGGATAGAGGAACTCCGTCGATATCGGTCTGTTTAATCGGGAAGCCATCCATATCGCTTGATCTAATTGGGACGCCATCCACGTCACTTGACTTGATGGGCAGACCATCGATGTCGAGTGGTTTTCCGTCCAGATCGGCCTTGCTTTCAGTAAAAGCCTCCTCGACAGCCTAGAGTAGAACAAACATCAAGACATGACAAAAGGTGGACTCTTTATCACTAAGTGACTTGCATCCCTGAATCAAACAATTAAAGTCAAGGGAACAAGGAAATGATTTCCAATTAAGCTCTTGATTGTTACACAAATTCTCCCAGATGGTACCAAAGCAAATATGCGGAGAACATTATGGAGAATATGCGTACTGTTAAGGTGTAAATGGTTGATTCTCACGGAGCTTGGACCCAGACCTCTCGTTCGGAATCTTAGACAATTTAATTACCAAAAATGTAAAAACCTAAGGAATGAATGACAGCAGACTTGTGTAAGGTTTGTACAAAGTTTACCTCTGGTTGACTCGGTCTTTCGTTGTTACCCAAAAACACGTTCTCCAAATCAAACAAAAAATCGGGAGTATACACAGCCCAGTCCATCCACGCTGCAAGACAGCGTAGAACTTGTTTCTGAAAATAAAAATAATATAAATTTTTATTTTTTTCTATGTCGTCCACTGGTCAATGATCATACCAAACAACATGCCAGTCTAACTGTACAAGGCAAGCTTTCTTAGTCCTCTATGGCGTTTCATTACTTGCCTGATTTAGGGTTTCAGAGGAAAAGACTGAAGGGTTGTAAAAACATAATTCATGTAAACTCACCTTGAAGTTTTCTGCTTTCATACGAGCATTTATAGCTTTGAAAGAGACACTTAAGTGACCAAATATGTCTGGGAGGAGAGTCTGAAATCTGAAAAGGAAATTGTAAATATCTCATTCTAATGTACATTTGCGAGCAAAATTTGATCTTTCTTTTTAATACACTGGAGAAGGACATTTATGTTCCTACAGAGAAGATGGACAAGGTTCCTTACCCTTTTCTGTAATAGGACACATTTGGTACTTTGACAGAGCAGTTGTGCAGAATGTCTGACACCAGGTACAGCCTTGCGACCTACAGAGGCAAATGTCACTCAGATTCAGCACAAAAATGATGAAGAAAACTGGAATGGATGAAGACTTTGAAGTCAAACACAAGTAGGCTTGTTACTCCTTTCTAAAGTAAAGTTATTCCCTTCTAAAGTAACTGATGGTAAATTCTATGTGGGACTTGAGCCCACAATAAGATCTTCATAGTTTAAAATTGTGTCTTTTCTTCTTGGGACAACCATTTTTCTCCTCTCTCGTGGAACACACACATCCAGTTCACCCTACATAATGGAAATGTTGGCATTCTACTTACCTTAACTTGCAGAGGGGTCTGCAAAATTGACAGTGACTCAGCAATGCATTCAACAACCTGAGTGAACAGAGTAAAGAGACTTAATAAAACTTTGCATATGTGAAAAAAAAAATGTAAAATATAGTTAGGACCAAATTAGAGCATCAATTTACTGGGCATAATTTATTATTTACAGTAATTACAAGTATTTGGTCATTCTCTTGTAAAAATTAGACTACAATGGGTTGCTATTGTTACTTTTGCCTTTTGACAAAATAGGAAAGTTAGTATTTTCCTTAACAAAAGGAATTTGGTGATGTGCCAAGAAAAAAGGAAAAACTTTAGATAGTTCTGAATCATTCTTTCCAAACACTCACTTGAAACAACAACTTACTAATTTGTCATTTTTTCTCTTTTAAATAATACACAAAGACAGATTGTGGATATAGACAAAATAATATTTCACACTCTTTTAAACAGCTGATGCCTATTTGGATCAATCATGAGAGGAAAACCATAGCATAATTTCTAATTTACCTCCTCTGCACAGTCTGCATGATCAACACAAAACACCATACATCTGGAAATTTTTATCCTTTCTGGAGTTAAATCCCTCAGCATGTCTTCCAACTTGTCGCGCTGCCTGCAACCACAAAATTTTCCCAAAAATAGATTTCTACTTAAGAGATCCTTGCAGCTAAGAACACTACTGAAACGAGTAGTTGTAAATAGGACCTGGCAATTTGGCAATTCATTGACCAGCTCCCAGTTGGCTTGTTAGCTCAATTGGTAGAGCGCTGCACCGGTATCGCAGAGGTCATGGGTTCATATCCCATACGGGCCTGAATTTTTTTCAGGTCCTATTTACAACTACTCGTTTCAGTAGTGTTCTTAGCTGCGAGGATCTCTTAATTTCATCTTTCCACCGCAGTGCAAATATGTGAATTTTCAGATTTCTACTTTATACCAAAACAAATTCACCACATTTTTCAAACCAAAACTCTTTTGCTTTTGCCCTACCCCTCCCCTGTCACTTCTCTATTGATGTATCCCTTATTTCAAGATTACCAGAAAGAATTACAAGTATAACACAACTTAATTGTCTACTCTGTCCTTGTTGTACACGTGCGCCAGAAAATCTTATTCTGTGTCATCAAAAGAGCCAGGCATTGCATCTGTATACATGTCTCAGTTTTGTGAAACATAAACAATTGATTAATCATGATTGTTGTCAGAGATTGAAAAATATTACTTCAAAAGACAAAATGCCACTGATAAATGCAACATCCATATGCTAAAAATCAAATATGTGCCCCATGAGGTGTACAGTACTACTCAAAGTAGGTTGACAGGCTCAACTTAAAACTCTATATTTAAAACCATCAAGAATTGTGTATTGAGACTCAAGAATCAGATATCAAGGATCGAGACACTCAAAGAACTTTACAAGAATTGTGATCCACAGTTTTGAGGAAACTATTTAATTCTCCCACACATAGCAACAGCTACAAACAAAGCACTTGGCACTGCTTCTCTTTTGTATAAGGAGTTAAAATAAAGTTTTCCATGATCCTAGGCCTTATACTGTCAGATGGGCAGAGATCTTACCTATTGGATAGAGAACACTTCCTACTACTTGATGTTGTGGATGCTGATGCAGTATGACTACTGCTGTGACTGCTACTTGAGCTGTGTGATGATGATGGTGCAGTTGTTGATGTCTGTGACGTTGATGGTGCAATGGGTGTTTCTACTTGAGGCACAGGTTGTTTATTGGCATTAAAAGCTGCTGCACTCATGGTGTACTGATGACACTGAGGTGGTTTCCACAAAGAGCCATTATTAAACATTCTAAATTTTTCTGTCCGCCATTTCGTAGGGGAATCACCCTGTAAGTGAATTGAGACAAAAAGGAGTATTGTGAATGAATGTTGGAAAAAAAGAAAAAAAAAAACTTAGAGGGTTGGGGAGAGCCAATCAAAGAAAAGGAAATACCAAAAGCAGCCAATGAACACGTAAAGAATAAACAAGCAAGAACATTGCTTATACAGAGCAAACCAGAACAAACCTGGAGAATGGAAAACAGCTTCCACCGATAGTAGATATGTTCTGGACAATGATTGTCAAACAAGAACCTACAAACAGAGATTCAGAAAACAACAAATTTAACCCTTTCAATCCCTGAAGTGATTAATATGTAACCTCTCCTTATAATATCCATACATTATTCCACAAACAGGTAATGGGAATACTCCAAATTATCAGCTAGAAGTTGTTACCTTGATCTAACACCAAATTCTCAGAACTAATTTATAAGGAAATATGTGACAGCCAGAGGGGAGAATTAACAATATGATCTTGAAGGGTTACAAAAGAACAAGTTTGTGTGGACCCATCTTCAATTTCAAGATGATTAAGGAATATCAGTTTTTCAAAACAGAAAAGCAATAAAAGAAGTGCAAAAAAATACAAAAAAGGAATAAAAGTGAGTACTATGGATGAACAGGAATGATGTTATACTCAATGACAAATTATGAAACTGCAATAATTTGAGCTGAATTTCCAAGACATGCGAGCTGTAATTCAGAAGATAATATTCAATCACCTGTACATTGGGTTGTTCAGTTCCTTGTTCATGATCATGGCCTCAAACATGGGTCCCTCACGCACGACAAATTCAACCATACGGTGTAACGAGGCACAGGAGGTTCCTGTGGGAATTACAGTGGTTACCACAACAACAAACAACATGTGAAAGTTAGTGACTATCACTGTGAAATCAAACATGGTAAGATGAACATCTTCACCTCAAAGCTGATTAAAAAAAAGTGAGTTTTTTTTTTTTTCTTCTATGGAACTGAATGCATCCTACATGTAGAGCTAATTAAATATGGCTAATTTTTTTCAGCTTGTGTGAATAAGCACACAAATGAAGAAAAACATAGGAAATGGTTTACAAGTACTTTCTAAAGAATTAAGAATAGTATCCCATGGGGCAACTTATTTTAAATGACTTTGGCAAACAAGGCACAGAAACCTTGAAGCACTCAAGCAAAAGCTTCCCAGCAAAAACACCACTCAACTAAATAAATGTTTATATGATACAAAACAAAAGAAAAAAAGTCCTTGAAAATGGCTTGAGCAAGCCACTAAACTTAAAGTATTACTTCCGGATCTGACAAGGTGGTGCTACACAACAAATTCCAAACATTTAAGAATATACAAAGCTGTTAAGACTTGTTAAGTACAATTTTATGAAATTGGAAGAGATTGTTGTAGGCATGTATAAAATACTTGTGGTACTCAACTTTCAGGAACATAATAGTGTTACAGAGATTATAGAGAGAGTAAAGAACATAATTTTTATATTTTTTGGTTGCAGTTAGATTTTAATCATATAACATATTGTTTAATTCACCAAAAATGCCAAAAAGGAATAAAAAATGGAAGAAGCAAGAAAAAACTTTGTATTAGATGTACAGTGTACACCTGTACAGAGGCTTTCTAAATCAAATAACAGGGTGTAAATAATCTACAAAACAACAAAAATGTACAGACATCATATGTATGATGTGTAATATTTATCAAGCCTGGCATGGAGAGGTCACTCAAGAAACATACCAGCAGCCAGTGATTATTCCACAAGGGAATGAAAAAACAACAGTGAATTTTCATAGAAAAGGTACCTTTCCGTCGGGATTACAACTTTCACGACCGCATTGGCTAAGGTCTAAGAGACAATTGCCAAAGACTTTGTGAGTATTAAACAAAACAGCTAATAAGATGTAACCTACAGTTAACATAAATACAAATTGTGAATCTGTAATAGCTGATTGGAATGTAAGTTAAAGGGTGCATGCATGCTCTGCGCTCTCCATTTTTGATAAATTCAAAATACTTGCCCCAAGAATTTCAAATAAACATGAAATATGTGGAGAAAAGATAAGAGAATTGTTCACTATGTCACAAAAATATATTTTTTCTTGATTTAGCAGTTTTTTGAACACAAAAAAGGAACACCACGAAGATATACTTTCCTTAATTAGAAAATAGTTCAAAAGAAACAATTCTTACATCACAAGAAAAAATCGAGACTCACAGGAAAAAACCTGATGATGAGTTGGTCCCAAGAAAAGTTTTATACGGTTTTGGTTTAGAATAAAAAAAAAAGAGGACTTTTTCCTTTCATTCAACTTACAGTATTCTCACAAAGGCACAGACAGAGATAACAATACAGTAATTAATAATTATATATTAATAAATGAATATGTAAAACTTATATACTGACAGCACATTACAAATGGCAAAACCACTTTGTACATGTAATAAAAAATATCATGCATTAAATATTCATACATGGGAAAAAAAACAATTACAAAGGAGTTATGAACATGTAAGTATTGCGATTCCCTAGGCTACTTCATACAAACTCTGAATTCATGGATAAACCATTATCTGAAGCTCACCTCCTTATTAAAACCATTTGCATCAAGATTGCGCTTGCCTTCCTCGGCACCCCCCTGTGGGGGAGGAGCACTGGAGTAGTCATCTTTCTTTTTATCAGGTTGGGCATTAAAAGGCAACCCTGATTGGGGTGGTGGGGTAGTGTCTTCTTGCATCTCTGGGGGAATATAGATTGGATGGGGTGGTAGAGGAACACTTTTTCCCCAACCTAGTTTCATCTCATAGGACATGACTTCTTTCCCTGTGATCAGAAGTAAAAGAAATTCATAAACCAAAAAGGGTTTTTAGTGACAACAATGTTTTCAAAAGGGGTGCTTTGTTAACATAGTATTGAGCTCTTTTGTGACAGCCAATAATCATTAAAACATTAGAGTGATGAGAAAGAATAAAGTTATCTCTTATCTCTTGACAGAATTTCAGAGAAACTTATAGTACAGTAAATAAAATAAGAGAGGTGGTAAGTTTTGAGCTTGAACTTCAGACCTTCAGATTCTACACTTCAATGCTCTACCACAGAGCCACAGAGACTCTACCATGAGCAAGGTCTATTATGAGGTTCATATATATAAACAGAATACCAGTTAAGTGCGGAATCCAAAGGTCTGAGGTTCCATTCCTCGTGGGGACTCAGAATTTTTTCTTTGTTCCACGCTTGTGACTGGACAAAAAACATCTTTCCCTATAGAGTGCACTGTTGCTTGAAATGGGAGGGGGAGGGGGAGGTGGGTGGGTTTACATCAGAAATTATTATTAAGATACATTGTTCTCAAGAATACACCTTTAAGAATTTGAATGTTTGCTTTAAACCCAAAACCTTCAGCTCTAAGATGAAGAAAATCCCTATGAAACTAAATATTTTTCAATAAAATCTAACCTTTTAGAGCATTAAGAGCTTTTTCTCCATCCTTTCTCCTCATGTAAGCAACAAAACCACAATTTCTGTTGCGAGCCTTCTCCTCCTCAGTCCTAGGCCACATGATTTTAACACTGGCCAGAGGTCCATACTTGCCAAACAGTCGCATTAACATCTCCTCTGTCATCTAAAAAACGAAGAAACAGCATAAGGGTGAATCATACAGACCTTTTGAAACTAGGACCAGTTCTAGCTTTGGATTATCTTTTCAGTAACATACTCTAACAATGTTCTTCATGAAGCTTCATAAAACTCTTTATGAGCAACAATGCTTGTAAGATTATTGCTTTTTTATATAAATCAGGCCTGTCCTGATTGAGAAATGATTATATGGCTTCACAAAAACATATCTTAACCCTTTAACCACTGTAGGAGTGATTAGCATCTAATTTCTCCTAACCCCTGAATCACTCATTAGGGTCAAGAGACTATAAGGAAATGATCACTAACTAATGAAGTCCTGGATTGTTAAACAATTTCTCCCTGTCATCACCTTATGAAATGTGTAGAGAAAAGTATGGAGAATTAACTTACTGCTGGATTGATGTTTCCAATGTAAAAAGATTTGTTGTGTTGGGATCTCCAGTATCATGTGATCCATATGAATAACCTTCCTCTACAAATATAAACAAATCAATTACTGGTTGTAATTCATTGGGAATGAAGGAAGCAAAATGTTTGTTTCTGATCCTTGTCGCATGTTTTGTCTTCAATATAAAGGAGAAATTCACAATGACAGCCACAGACCAAAGATAAATGGAACCAATCCTGTTAAATTTAAAATTTTTTTGAACTTCTGAATTGATCTAAATTTGGTAACTATATACTTTATCACCCAAAACTATTAGTCCATACCTTTGGAAGGTGCAAGAAGAGATGGTGCCATATTTTCTAAGACATCTCTGGGAATATCAGCTAGATCACCCTTCTTGATCTTGTGCCTTATCTCCCTTTCCTTCTGTTGTCTGAACAAAAAGAGACAAAAAATCATAAAAGCATACATGCCTGTAAGAATAAATACAATTACTCTCACATACATTTAACAATAACTTTATTTACCTTTTTAATTCTTCCTTAAACAGTTCTAAATTGCTCTTCTTCTTTTCTTTCTCTTTTGCCTTTTTCTTAACAGACTCCTGAAAAAAAGAACAGAAAATGCAAAACGTTTGATTGCCAGTGGAGAGTACAGTACTGCTCAGATATATGTTAACTACACAGGGAAGGTCAGACACGCATATACAATTTTTATGTGCACAAGGACAAAAACATGCACAACTTTTTTGCCTTTGTTATTCAGTGCTACAAGTTTCCTATGTGTTGCACTGCACATTTCCATTTACTGTAGCATAATGCAACAAGCAATATGGTATATAACATTCCTCTGACAATTAAAGTACTGTTAACACTTTCGCGAGGAGAGATGCACTGTGGAGAATCCATCTAAGTCTCTTGCCCAAAGATAACTAACACTTCAACTCCATGAGTGACCAAGAGAATTTCTTTTTCCATATCAATGTAATATCAAGCAGACAAGTGATAAGAATAAAGAAAAAAAAATAGCGATTAGGGGGATTTTTAGTTAATCCAATACCAAATTCTCCAAACTAACATCACAAGAATTATATGGTAGATAGTAAGGAGAATTGCTAATGAGATCTTCAGAGTGAAAGGGTTATGCTAGCCACAAGACCACTATACATAAAATTAAAACTGAATACACACCACTTTGGGAGCTGCCAATTCAGTCTTGATTTTCTCTTCCATAACAGTAGCAGATATCTTTGCCATTGGCTTGTATAGAGCTCCAGCCTGTGCCGAAGCAGTCTCCTCTGTAAAACATTCACAAACATCAGCAACAAAATCGAACAACCTCAGCAATTAAAATACATATCAAACGACCCATACTTATAAAATAATTCAAATAGTATGCATGCTCTGATTGGCTATAAAACCATTTTACATGAGCATACGTAAACACAGTTTTCGTTCCTCTTTCACTAGTCATTTTATAAAAGAAATGTAAAATGGTTTCCGTGTTTACATAGCCTGATGTAGACACTTGGGAGATTTGGAGAACACTCGGTAAGCTGGAAACCACTCCACTTTGCATCGTGGTTTCCTACACTTATCTTGTGTTCTCCCAACCTCCCACATGTTTACATCAGGCTATGTAAACACAGAAACCATTTTACATTTCTTCACTACAAAATAGTGAAGAAAATCGAAGTGGGAGGAAAAGAAACATTAAGATAAATTCTTCACTTTACCCTTTAGCTCCCAGAAGTAATTAACTGTAACTTCTTCCTATAGCATCCATATACACTGTATCATCCAGCAAATTGGTATTGAGAATACTAAAACTTATAAGTTACAAGATATTATATTGATCTCACTGGTAGTGAGAAAACTCAAACTTATCAGGTATAAGATATTATATTGATCCAACACCAAATTCTCGTAACCAACTTACAAGGAAATGTGTAGCAGCTAGAGGAGAGAATTAATTGATTGAACAAAGGAAATGACTAAAGAACATGTATATACATGTACACGAACAAGAAAAACAGCACCATGAATTATAGCGTAGCCAATTAGAAATTACATATTATAACTGGAGTAAAATTAGACACAAAATAACAATTATGATTTTATAAATTTATTGATTAAAGTATAAAGTATCCTCTTGCATCAAAATGTTCTTTAACTGTCTATGAAATACTCTTTTAAATTTATCTTTAGGTAGAGAACAAAGACAGATAAATAAGTCTACTATTTATTTGGAATAATAAATACACGAATCAGTTTTGAAATAATTTTACCTTTTGTTTCCGGGTTGATTGTATTGCCACGCACAAAAGTCTTCCCAGCCACCCGAGCATCTTCAAATGAAGCAACAAAATCTGCAAACACTTCAGCACACTCTGATTCTGCTTTCTAAAAAACAGAGACAATTATAACTTTGACAAAGTATTCAAGAACTGAAGTTAAAACTGTCCTTTTACAAGAGTTATTTTAACATTGCTAATCCAGGCAGTTAGCTGGACACTTGTCCAGAATATTGCTAATAAATGGTCTTATTGGTCAACTGATTTGCCAACAAGTTAGCTGAAGATCAGAGCATCCAAATAACACATTAACACTAGAGAGGGACATGGATTTTTCTCTATCCCCTTGCAACACATGATTCACAGCTTCCTTCAATTTAATATAACCTCCCCTCTTTTCAGAAACCCTTGTGAACAAAACAAACTTGAAACCTGTGGAATGTTTTGTATGATTCCTGTGAACTTCACCAAACTGAAAACGTCCGATAATGCATGCTGCACGAAATGCAACTTGCTTGATTTGCTACCCACCACAGGGATTGCAAAATATCCAAAAAGACAACCATCTCAGGAGCATGCTCAACAAACACATGAAAATTTTGAACCAAATATATGGAGAGGCTAAATACAACAAATACTCAGGTAAATGTAACATTACCCCTGAAGGAGATTAAAACAACTGGATTGATTAAATACGTACATTGCCAGAGTTGACAATATAGCTCTTTCCAATGCTACCTTAAAAGGCTTTTTGAAAATCACTCACTTTCCATTCCTGATCAACAAACTCTTCTTGTATCCTTCAACATCTTACCATAAAATCTTACACTATGCATCATATGAATATTTACACATAGCCTCTTCATTTCTAAAACATCCTTCAAATGTCAAGTTCCATTAAAAATATACTTGCAAAATCTGGCTTTCAGTTGCAGCGTCTTAAATCTCTAGTAAATCGTACCGACAATTTTTCTGCTTTCTTACGATCTAGGATATTCTACTGTACAAAATCACAATTAAGTGAGACCTTTTTCTTCTCATCAGAATCTAGCTTTGATCTGGCGGGTTTCTTCAGTCCAGCGTTCATCATTCCAACAGAGAAGGACTTCAACTTGCTCTCAGAAATTGTCTGCAAGGAATACATCCATTGCAAAGCGTTACTTTGACGATGAAACATCGATATCTTGAATTCCAAATCAATTGCTAATTAAAACGAGAGAACAGATGTTAAATTTCAGCTTACCTTCATAGATCCTGGGGTTAACCCTTCTGGGGTCAAACCCCACGGCAGATTCTTGTCAGGCTCTGATTTTTTCGCAGCCATTACATGTTGGATTGTGGTTGAGAATCGACCCGACGTGCTTTGTTCTAAAAGATGACTACGCATGACCGAAGCAACGAATGCCTTTACAAAGCAATAATTATAAAAAAAATTTGTAAGACTGGCACGTAGCGGCCCGGCTAGCTCAGTCGGTAGAGCATGAGACTCTTAATCTCAGGGTCGTGGGTTCGAGCCCCACGTTGGGCGCTAATCTTTTCTATTCTCTTTTTCTTTTTTTTCGGTTTCCAAATCTTAATCTTAGAATATTTTTCTCCCTTTGCCAGATTATTTCAAAGGACTGGAAAGTACAAAAATTAACAATTTAACCATCGCTGCTTGGTTGTGGACCCAAAAAAGCTCAATACAATCACCCGTGGAGTCTCGAATGACAAAACTTTGATTTCCTTGCTAAGGATTTCCAATCACTGGGCTCATACGTACGTTTCTCTTTTCCATCCCTACCCCCATTCTCACTGGTCACTTTTTTGTGCGTTTTCGTTTCTTTTCTTTTTTCCTTTTTGGCTCGTTTTCGTCCATGCACTCGCGCGCCTCACGCTTCCTTCGCTTGAGTAAGACTCAATCACGCACGTTTACGTTAAGAAAAACCGACCTTGATCATCTCTTTATGATCCTTTATTTTTCCACAGTGCTTTAACTCAACAAGGAGATTGCTATTTCCTTGATTATACAACTCGCCGAAACGCTGTTATTTCATCATAGCTGTTCTCTCAGCTTTCAAGATCAGCGACTAATGATCTAAACAAGAGAATTTTGTTCAATAATTTTATGTTTGTCTCTTTTTTAAAACTGCTTGCAACTGACGATTCGGCGAGTAACATTTCACTGATATGCAAAAAGGGAATAGAAGTGCTCTCATTTAACAGCTTGAAGTGCAGGTCTGTCGGGTAAAAAGGAACTAAACCCACGATCAGCGCCGGGCGTGTATCTGAAAATCTGCAGAAAAAAAAATCATGCCGTGTATTTTAAACATCATTATTTTATTTGTAACAAATGCATAAAAAATTTGATGGGGAAAGATACCTTAGGCACTCTACACTTTCTCTATTACGGTTACTGGTCACTTCGCTGACATATCAACTCGTAACAACCAATTTGCCAACACTATTAGTCAACTTGCAGATGTACCTTCAGTTAACTCTCAGACACCACCTTAATTAAGCCTAAAACTTAACAAAAGAGGGTTGACCGGGTATGTCAGCTAAATGAATGTGGATGTTGGCGAGGTACTGACCACGGATGTCAGCAAAGTTACCAGTAGGTCACAAAGTTGAACAATTTCTTATCATTATTACTATGCACTACCGATATGCATCAAACCATTGGTCACCTTTAACATGGGCGCAACATTCAAAAACACATTCCCAATAAATTAACTTGCCTTTTCTTTACAGAATCCATAATGATTTTACTGGCTTTTCTTGACATATCACAGAATAAATGAAAATAATACAGTTTCTGGCACTGCAAGAAATAAACAACACTAACCTTTTTAATTATTTGTGTCAATATCTATTAATTGCTACTGTGTTAGCTTCTATTAATGTACAGAAGCCTTTCATGATAACTAGCTTTGCAAAAGTTGAGTCAGTCTACTAAACTAAAATTTCATTGTTTTGATTCACCTTTTCAAACAATGAGATGACTGTTTGAGGAGCTACTGTCAAAGGGCCTCCTTTAGCAATAATGCACACTCGTTGAAGATGTTTTAATTCTCCAAGTGACAGTAAGAATGACTCATTGATCCTAAATGCTTTCTGTTGAAATCTGGGAAACAAAATAAGATTTCCAACTATTATCAGCATGAAATTCTAAACACTGCTAAGCCATTAAGGTCATGAGAATAAAGGAAATGATCACCACATGAAGAAGCTCTTGATTATTTAATGAATTCTCCTTGTCTGCACGTTAGCAAATGTAAAGAGAACAGTATAGAGAATGTGCATATTGATTTTAGGCTGTACAGGGTTAAATAGGAGTTAGTGCCCCTTGCCCCCAAAACAGGAACGAGGGACTGAAAACCTGAACCCCTAAAATGGCTTGCCTGGAAATCCCCTTGTTTTGTCAGGCAATCTGGCAAGAGTTGGACAAAACATGTTAATTTATGCTTGTGTATCTCCCAATGACCTTATGCTCCTTCCTTGAATAGAAGTGTTTCAATAGATACATTTCCCTGTTGGTGATAAAACTTTTACATAAGAGTTCACCTGAAATCTCGAAGTTGATGACAACAAGAAAGTGCCTGTTGCAGAAGTGCTACATTCCCTGAATGGCTGAGATTCTCAAGGTTTGCAAGGGATAGAAATTGAAGATTACTGCAGTTCTGTGTGATGGTAACTAAGAATTTCAAACTTCCTTTTGTATATGGCACTAAAAAGTAGCAATTGAAATCATAGTATTATTAACTGAAAATCTTAAATGATTAGGTTACACTTTAATTTAGGATTTGCTTACTTGTGATATTACATTTGAAAATTTGGAAATAAAATTATCCTCAGGATGTCTACTAAAGACACCACATTAGATATTTCACATGATTATGTACCTACTTTAACATGATTTAGAACCTAGTGCTGTCCTAATGTTTTCTAAGCATGGTTTTAATGTAGATTTTTGACAAATCCTTTTCAAATAACTTTACAACCAGGCTTTTAGACAGTATAAATTTTGGGTTAAGATTGAAATAAAGTTGAAAGCTCTGTAAATGTTAAGTCCTAAACTTTCATGCATTTACTATTTGGCACTTCATGTACCAGTGGCCTTTACATGCATAAATTGAGCTAAAAAACAAATTAGTTCTCGATCACTTCATGGGAATATACTATTAACAATTATCATTTTTTTCCAAGTTTGTGAATGGAAAAATATCTATTTTATCACAATTGGCAGTAATGGTGCTATCTGATTGGCCAGTTTGCCATTGTTGATGAAAGCGCAGAGAACCCTGCTCACATCAATGTGTCATGCAATGCCTTTATCAGCTCTCAAACATGGATGACTTAGACATTTTGAAGATGATATTCTGGTAAAAAACAAATCCACAGTGGCTAGGTGTGGTCTGTGCTCTTATGGACAACAATGTTCATCATCACAATAGTCAAAATATCATGGTCTCACAAGGCACAGCCAAGTTAGTCTGCAACATTTTGACCACTGCGATTACAAACATCATGGTCAGTAAGAGTGCAGACCACACTATGCCACTGTCGATTTGCTTTTTATCACTGATGATATCAACCTCAAAATTTGCAAACACCAGAACTGATTAGTATGTTAATCAGTCCTGGGAGTTAAGGAGCTACACCTAGTTTGAGTCATATCTGAGGAACAAACCTGAAAGAGTAAGCCTTTGCAGGTGTTTCCAATTAGCAATTGGTAGGAGACTGTCAAATGTACCCCTTCTTGCATCACATGTTGGTCTGGATGGTGAAAAAATTGTAATAGTAAGGATTAATGTTATCAAAAGTCTGCCATCACTAAACAAGCTGACAGGGTTTGCCTTACAGGCATAATCATAGGAAAAGAAATGGTGCTCATGTTTGGAATGCCAAAGAGTAAATATGAAAACAATTGAGTCAAGAGCTCTGTACATTGTGCTCACAAAGTATGCCTTTTCCATTTTCTAACCATGTGTTAGTGTGATTCTGAAATAAAAAGTAACTTACTGGTACAAGGTTGGACGGTAGCTAAGCTCTCTGTCATGACGTGAGGGAAACCAAAGTTCAAAGTCTGTCATTCCAGTGCATTCTTGGGTAAGAAAAACAAAATGGTTCTGCAATTTGGTGGCTGGGTCAGTGCTTGACTGAGAGTTTTTAAGATTCTGTCCATGACACACTCTTCTGTTTGCCTTGAGTATACTTCCTTTAGAACTAGTCTTTGCACCTTCTGTGTCATCACTTGAGACTTGATGTGTCACACATGTGCAGAGGCTGAGAGAAACCAGATGGGTGAATTTTGAGATGACTTTGATGCAACTGTTTGATTCTTCCTGGGATGTTTGATCATAATGTACTCCATTGAGGTTCAACTCAGCCATTTTTGGGCACAATAAAGCCAGTGATTCCAGTCCTTGAATCTTCAATGAAAATATATCAATTTGTCAAAAAATGACAATAGAAGCAGCATTAACACCTTACTTCCTCAAAAATGTATCTATGATTAGAGTTTAATGATTAAGAAAATCAAATTTTTCCCTGAACTCCTAGAAGTGATTAACATGTTATTTCTTCATACAAAATTCATACATTATTAGCAAATAAGTAATGAGAGTACTAATAAACTTGTTGGGTAGAAGTTATTATCTTGATCTCACACCAAATTCTCATATCCTTTCATACAAGGAAATGTGTAACAGCTAGAGGGGAGATAAACAATCAGATCTTGAGAGTTAAATTAAATCCTTTAACTACCAAGATATAATTGTTAACTCTCCCTTTTGGCTGCTACACATCTCCTTGTAAATTAGTTGGAAGAATTGGCTGTTAGATTAAGATATAAACTTCTACCTGATAAGTTTGAGTATTCCCTTTACCTGTTTGCTAGATAATGTATTAATATTATAGGAAGAGGTTACATTTTAATCACTTCTGGGAGTTAAAGGGTTAAAGAGAAAACAGACTCACTGGTGTGAAGCAATCTGAGCAATTTTGTAAGTTGAGAATCTCCAAGTTTGGTGAAGAAGTTGCAATGACTTGAAGAAAATGGCCAGAAATGACAAAACCAGAAAGATTCAAATACACCAGTGCCTGCCACTGCATACTAAGAATTGTCATCAGACAATCTACATCATATTCGTTTAAAGCCAAGGCCCCCAACTTCAAGTTGACAATAGATGACCTATTTCCCGCAGTTTTCATAAATTTTTCACAAATATCACGGTTTCTGTCAAGAAATTGAAAACTGGAGGGTACAATAAATGTTTGGAGAGTTCCACTTTCCAACCCATGATTGATTGACTTCCTTGCTTCTCCAATAACACTGAGACCTGCAAAATCAATTTCTGTCTCTCTCCTGCAAAACTGGATTTCACTTCCTTCAATGGAAAGTTTAGGACAATGGGACCTGTAGCTACCTGATGCATCAATCCACTGCAAGGTAAATGCCTTCAAATGAAGTTCACTGCAAATAATCGGAATTCCCTGATTCACAATGAGGGCGGTCACATAAATGTTTGGAAGCCGGATTGTCAGACTATCCAAACCTTTAAAAGCTTCTGAAAGTCCACTGCAGAAAGAGAGCAATAAACCATGGAATACCCCTAAGGTATATCCCTCCAAATGAGAGCCTATGGGTAAATCCTTTTCATTCATAGACCATGCAAGCGTTTTAAGGTTAGCATTGAGTTTTAGAAGAGAACAAAGTGTTTTTTTGGTAACACTACAACCAAGTAAGTTGAGAGATGTTAATTTTCGGCACTTTTGCAGTGTACTGGAAAGAAGAGCTCCTTTAATCCAATAGCATTCTTGTAGATTCAGCTCTTGTAGTGAGTGTTTAAATTTGCTGATGTAGTTGCAGATGAAACCGGAGGATAGATGTTGCTTCCCATGAAAGTTGACGCACCTGAAAACAAAAGATGCGCACAAAATTGAACTTACTGCTGTAATAGAAGTAAAAGTTAATTTATTAATCATGAGGAGTTTTGGTCCTCTCGAGCTACTTCGTTAGCGTTAAATAACCTGTGAAGTTGAGGGATTATTGCAAGTTTACGCCAGCAGCGGTTCACTCTTGACAAAGAAATAAGCTCCAATGGTTCAATGTTTTGAAATATCAAAAGCAACACTTCTTCCGGAAGATACTCCATCTTGGATTGTTTCGCTGAAAACAATACTTCACGTAATGGACATGTAATATCCTTAATAGTTTAGAAGTGTTTCTCCCAGATTCTCACGGTCATCATGGCGGCCTTGTCAAGCGAGGTGATCGCGCAAAGTTTTTCAATTACTAGCAAGCGCCGTTGTAAGGAAAAGTGATGTCTGTTGTTGCTCATGTTACTGATGCAGGTGAGCCACCTGAAGCCTGTAAAGTTGAAAATGTGAAAGACTGTTCGATTCTTTCTCAAAACACTACATCTGATCCAGAAAATGAAGAGGCGATATTAATAGAGGAGGCAACAAGTAGTGTAGTCGAGAACAATGATGTCACACAGAAGATTAAAGTTCTCACGGAACATCAGATTTCTATGGATTTTGAGCACGATGTTACTCGAAATGAATATGATGAAGATAAAACATGTGATAAAAACTTGTTAAACTCAAAATTGAGTGTTCAGAAAGAGGGCTCTAATTATGTTTGCGAGCTTAATAGTAGGAGCACTCAAGAACAAACGTCTCAAGATCAGGAAGAAATGGACGAGATCCGCGAGAACTATTTTTATCAAGAAGAAGAGGGAGGTGTTAATGATTCAAAACCAAAAAGTTGCGGCGAGGAAGCCGATGACACCATAGAAGGAATGGAATCAGATGACACTCACAGGTACCAAATGTTTTATTTGTCACTTATTTACCAGTCTTGTGTACTGCATCAATCAGTCCTGGCTACAGAGAGCACTTTGATTGGTTGATAGCCATGTCATATCTCGTATTCTGTCTTGCTCTGTGTGACATGAAGTGATGAGGAGGAGTGCTACTCTTCAAGTGTGGTATGCTATACAATAGCAGGTAACTTTCCCACCCCCCACCCCCCCTCCTCTTCTTGCAATTTATCATGAATCCCCGAAGGTTTCCCAATTCCCATCTAAAGGGGTAGATCTGGGCATACTTGAAAGGGGGGGGGGGCTAAACTTTGATAAAATACCCCCTTATGAGTAGTAATAATAAGAATTCTGGATTCAGACAAATAATGAAAAGAAAAAAACCCACAGTTCCTATGGGAGAGGGGTGAGAGGGAGAAAGACCGAACCCTTCCCCTCCCTTTTTGCACTAGATTTGTTACTGGCCATCTGGAAAAGTTGGTAAATGCACTTTTTGCTCAAGATGTGTCAACATTTACCACAACTAGTTGTAGCTTGGCTTTACCTGATTTTTAAAGCAGTAAAAAAAATACATTTTTTTTCCTTCAGATACTTTGCAGTTAATTATAATTTTTGCAATATTGTTTTACCGCAACAAGTAACAGGAGCTTGGGAAGACTTCAGTTGCTCAGCTTCAAACTTTCTCAAGGGTTGCAAATGGTAAGCATGGTCAAGGGGAGAGGAATTCCATTCTAATGGTGTGATATACAGACAGTGCTCCTCAACTATTCTTGGACATTCTAAGTCCTGTATAGATGTGTTGTATGATTATTGAATAAAACTCATGTAAACTCTAAATTATTTAATCTTTGAAGCATAGTAACTGGTCTAGCTGTCAGTCTGAAGTGCATCTTGTTGTCCCTAGTGTTAATGCCAGTCTATCACAAATTAGTAAGGGGGATAAGTTGCTAAAGAAACTGTGGTGCTGTATCAGTGGGAGAGAATAACAAGGTAATTTAATATTTTTAACTGAGTTGATAATGTAAATTGACCACCATAAAGAGTTTCAAAGCTGATGTTTCAAACTTCAGCCCTTCATCAGAGTGAATGGAGGAATTTTTGGTTGTGTGTGTGTTTATACTTGGAAAATATTAACACACATAGAACCCACAATTCCTCCATTCACTCTGATGTAGGAAACTTGTTACAGTGGCCAATGTATGTTATCAACTCAGCTGATAATACTAAATTGCCCTATCACAAATTAGATTTGTAACCCTTTAGTCTGTCATACAGTTTCTTTTTTAGCAATTTTCTGATATCCAATTATACTTCCAGGTAGAGAGGGGCATTTTGAGATAAAAATGTGTCATCTAAGAACACGTTGCCATGATTAGGTTAGGGTTGAGTTTGATCACCAGCTGCTATGTGGAAAATGAGCTTGTGCTCCTCCCCCAAAAAGAGGGTGGAATGAAGAGTGCTCTCAAGGGAGTTGTAGAAATTTGTTGGAACAGAACTCCAGCCTGAACCCAGTGATCCTGAACCTACATTTTTTTATTATAATTATTCAGCCATTACATATGTCTGCCTAATTTACTGTGGGCTTGATTTTCATTTTTGTGTTCTTATCTAAGGTCTCCTGATGGTGCATGTTTACTGACAAACAGTGATGACAACACCCTCAGGATATTTAACCTTCCTGCGGAATTGTACAGTGGGAATGCTGTACAAGGTTTATCAGAAATGGTATCTAATAATCTGTTATTTTTGTCTCTATATGAATACAAGTTGTTTTCAACAATGACACAACTGACTCTTACTTTTCCACAGCCAAAATATACATACATGTATATATTTTTTATTTATTATTATGAATACAAGTTGTTCTCAACAATGACACAACTGACACTTACTTTTCCATAGCCAAAATATACATACATACATATATTTTTTTATTTTCAATGAATAAATCACTTTCTAGGAAAAGTATTTTTTTTTTAGTGGTGGTCAAAAAAATCATTGTGTATTAACTGCTTTGCTCTATACCTTTAATAAAACTTTGGAAATTAATCACAATAATTATTGTTTAACAATGAAAACATAGCCACTTGACATTCTTGTTTTTTTTTAAAAGGTATCAGTGTTACAGATGCAGGAGGGAGAGACAGTTTATGACTACTGTTGGTATCCATTTATGTCATCTCTTGATCCTGACACTTGCTGGTATGATACTCATCACTTGAAAGATTCTTAGATCCTAAATACATTACACCTGGAAATCATAACATAAGTATGAGTCAGAATGAATGATAGGGAGCCTTGTTCCTTACAGGGAAAAATGTCTGTGGTTATTCTCTTAATTAATTTGTGTCCTTCATAATCGGAATTGTCATGATTATGTACCTTTCTTTGCATGTGTGAGAGGTAATGCTTTGTGAGGGTGGGTTGAGGTGCACAGTCAGATTGAAATTTTTCATAGATGGATCTGAGGCCCTCATGAGGTGTACCTCAAGATGTGTGGTTAATAAAATTTATCCACCCTATTCAAGTGAACCAAAGGCCTAGGATATACCAGCTAACTTTTTTTATTCAAAGGCATGAGATTTCTATCCACAATGTTAACAACTGATATTATTATTCTGATATTATTTGTGTGTTTATTAATTTTACTTTTAAGTTACTAAGTTAAACACACTTTTCTAAAGATTTCTCTCAATTAAGGCTTTGATAGTTCAACTATTCTGCCGAGTCTTCAGCAAGTCAATCAGCCATCACAAGCTATTTTGGGACCAAAGTTTGCAATCTTGGGGGTCTACAATGTCCTTCCTAAGATAAGACAGTTGCCTTATAAAGCCTTTAGTCTTGATTTTATGTAAACATAAAACTCAGGTTTACAGCTCTGAATAAATTAGATCTTGATAATTACGTCATCACAGCTTCCTGAGCAGTAGCCGTGACCATCCTCTCCACATGTGGGATGCTTTCACAGGAGCAATAAGATGCACCTACAGAACTTACAATCACTTGGTAAATGATAGTTCATGTCAATAACTATTTCCTCTGTTAAATGAGGAAAGGGGTAATTTTCTAAAACAACTGTGGTGCTGTGTTGGTGAGAGAGTATAAAAGGGAAATTTAGTATAATCAACTGAGTTGATAACATAAATTAGCCACCATAAAGAGTTTAAAGCAACATGTAACTCTGGAAAAGTCTGCTTTGAAACTCTTTAAGGTGGCCAATTAATGTTATCAACTCAGTTGATAATACTAAATTACCCTATTTGCTCTGTTAGCCTGAAATAATGGCTTTATAGCTAATTTGAATGTAGTTTTGACACAGTGTTGGCCAGCATTATCTATTGGTAGTAATGAATAAAGGGGTAAGTTTCTAAAGAATCTGTGGTGCTGCGTCGGTGGGAGTAGGAGTATAGCAGGTAATTTAGTGTTAACAACTGGGTTGAAAAACGTAAATTAGCCACCGTAAAGGGTAAAAAAAGACGTTTGAGTGTTGGCGTCAATAGCTCTGGCGAAGGGCTAACACTCGAACGTCAGCTTTTTACCCTTTATGGCTAATTTACATTTTCAACCCAGTTGTTAACGCTTAAATTACCTACTATTGGTAATAATGATTCACTAACACTTAACTTAACTGTTGTTTGTGAGTTTCATTAAATATGATTGATACTTAAAAATCTGTAGCTACTGAAACATTTTTTACTGTACAGATTTCATTGTCCCCTTGGTAAAATTGATAGTACTTGAACATAGCATTTTTTGAGAAAAAATTGATTTATTAAAATCTATAATTTCTTTCTCCCTTGGTATTTCAATTGAGACAAATAAAAGGTTATGTTTTTATCATTTAATTTTTTTCTGCTAGGATGAGGTGGTTTCAGCAAATTGTGTGTCATTCAACCTGGATGGCAGTCAAATCTATTGCGGCTTCAACAAGATGGTCAGAGTTTTTGATACAACAAGACCTGGGAGAGACTTTCAGGAAAGACAAACCACAGGTCTGTACTGTGTATTGTATTTTTAGTCACTGTCAGTGACAACTTTATTTAGCAATGTATAGTGTAATATAACCCTATTGATACTAAGATTCTTGATAGAGGAAAAAGTGGTTGTATCATTTTAGTGAAGTTCTGCAATTATGTGAAGCCTTCAAGAGCTTTTTTAGGAGCACTTTGGTTTAGGGTCTATTTGTTATTAAACTCTTGCTCATGGTGAGTTGAAAGACTTCTATTGAAAAGCATTTTGGAGCTCAGATTCTCTGCTGAAGGCTACTGACACCTTTAGATCAGATTGTCCATACTGAAAATGCATAAATATAATGTCATTTTTTGCAGTTAAAAAGGAAGGTCAGGGTGGAATCATCTCTTGTATTGCATTCAGTCCTGACAGTTCTGGAATGTATGCTTTGGGATCTTACTCAAAATCAGGTACCATGATTCTATGGAAATATGAAATTACAGGCTGGAATGATGTCTGAGTGAGGAAACTTACCTTCAAGTGTTCCCAGGCATGGTCCTATAATTATTTTCATTTGAAATTATTAAAAGTTTTTTCCTTGTTTGCCAGTTGGTGTTTACTCTGATACAGATGGTGAACTTATTTTCCTACTCCAAGGACAGCAGGGTGGAATCACCCATGTTATGTTCTCTCCTGATGGGACAAAGATCTACAGTGGTGGCAGGAAGGTACTGATTAGTTTACCCTTAAACATTAACTTATTGTCCATTTTTCACATGCACACCCAATAAAATAGCATAATTAGAAATGTAAACATGTCCTATTTCTTCCATGCACCTGTTTATTTCCACAGGACAATGAAATTCTTTGTTGGGATGTAAGAAATCCTGGAAAAGTTCTGTACTCCATGATACGCTCAGTGGATACAAATCAGAGAGTTTATTTTGACATTGACAGGTACCATCGTAATAATAATCTTGACAAAGTGTAAGAATATCTTGCTTCTTGTTTCCTAGATCTTGCTCAGTTTTTTCCCACCTGTAGTGAATGCACTGGTAAATTTCCAGACAGTTACTCATACCATACAATTTATTCGAAACCAGTGGTTTCTGAAACATGATTAAAATAAATTACACTACAACCAACTACTGCAATAATAATACAATAATTACGATTACAAAGTGAAACATCAAACAGCAAAGACAAAGCAAAACATACCTGATGGTTTGATGAAGAGAGTACACGAAATGCCATAAAGAAACAATGAAAGGACAGCAAACTGAATAACATACTGTTCTTTTTCATGCCAAAATTTAAACATATACATATGGGTTTGGAGACTGAAGCCTAGTTGGCAGGTAAAACACTGCCCCTGAATTTGTTGTACCACCCTTTCAAAGCAAAACATCCTCACTAAGACATAAACAGACTTCAGCAACACCCACAAATGAGATCAGAGAGGCTGATGATGAAAGTGGCAGCTGTTTGTGATCTGCACATTGTGCTTCCTGCCCTTCGGGTTGTATTTAAGGGTGTTGTGCATGTATAGTCAGGTTACTGAGCTTGTTTCAAAATGGCACCTTACATGGCTCAATTATTACCACATTTAAAGACAATTCTTGAAAGGTTAAGGTACTCAACTTTGAATACCAATATTGGATGAAAAGACTTGTTTCTTTGGATATGTGATAATGGCAGAGAAAACAAATTTAGTGTTTCTGCAGCATATCTCTTGTTTAACATTTTTTCCTGCGGTTTCCTTACCTGTCTCCTGACCCCGTCCCTCCCCCCCCCAAACTTGTTCTTCTCATTCTTCTAAACCTTGTTTGAAATTTTTTTGATACAGATCTGGGCAATACATAATTTCTGGAAATGGTGATGGTATTGTCACTGTCTGGGATTCAACTCTTTCACCAGTTGATGATAGCTCAACAACAGAAGCTATATTACAACCTGTCATGACATTTGTTGGACATGGAGACTTGATAAATGGGGCCTGGTATCTATTGATTTTAAATACTTCCAAATTGATAATCATTACAGACATGATCCTTTGTACCAACTGTAGATATCATAGGATAAATTGATACAAATTTTGGCAGGTTTCTTTTTTTCAATTTCATTGCATTTTTAAGGCCAAAAAAAGGTGGTGATATTAAATAAATGAAACTTTGGAAAGAGTGCAAATAGAGGATGCTTTTTAAAGTTTTTTTTAATTGAAATAGTGGTTTTAATTTTCAGTAATTATTTTTGTTAGAGGTTTACTTTGATCTATCAATTGAAATTGTTTTCCTTTTTAACAGCTTCCATCCTAGTCTCCCTCTTCTGGCCACAACCTCAGGACAACGTCACTTTGAAGAGCCTGGGAATGACAGTGATGATGAAAATGTAATAGACCAAGAAATGAAGATTCAAGGTGATAACTCACTGCGAATCTGGGTAGCTGGTGAACAGGAAGTGACTGTTGAAGTGGGTTAACAAATTAATAGAGTACCACGGGTAATGTCAGTAAATAATGTCTCTTTTCAAGGGAGCATACACAGTATGGTATGACATGAATATGGATGTACAAGGAGTGCTTTAAGGTGACAATGGACGAATGGAAGGAAAAAGATAGGGAAATAATGATGAGTAGTACAAATTTGTGACCAAAGGGACTAACATGTCTCATGGTGGATCTCAAGTTGACTTGAAAGCATACTAAACATGAAAGCATACTAAAACATATGGCTTCACAGCATTGTCTAGTGAAAACTTTGACAAAAGAAATGTTAGGCTGTGTGAGGAAATTACCATGAACCTTCCTTGCATCAAACATTTCCCCAAGGACTAAAGAAATAAAATTTTGTTTCTGTATTATCAAGGACATCAGGTGGTGTAGTATAGGTTCGTGATTATATACTGTTATTGTTATTTTAATAAATACTCAAACAACGAAAAGAGACTAAAGGATTTTTTAATATTACAACGATGTACATAAAACTATTTGTTTCTGTTGGTTAATACTCTTGGTAGAACATCAGTTGTACTTAATATAAATCGTCAAATTCTTGGTTTTATTCTAAGAGGCTCCTTAACCCTTTCAATTCTAAGATCAAGACATCACTTCTCTTTATTGCCTGCTGTACATTTTCTTTCACTTCTTACTCTAAGAACTTTCTATGTAATCAAACATGACACTTGCAATTGGTGTATTTTTTTCTCTCTTCTCATCACCATACTGTTTCAAAATATATTGATATCAAAAGGCGAAATTCCTTTTGATCATGTTGGAAAATGAAAGGGATAACTGTATTAAGAATTGGAAAAAATTGTGTCAGCTTCCAAGCTCTAATTCTTGGATTTCCTTTATGAGTGATGCCTCTGCTGCCATCTTATCAAGCTGTAAGAAGTCAAAGGAAACTGCAGTCAGTTGTTATTAAGAAAAATTATAAAATAACTACAATAATGCAGTGACGTTTTCAGCCAATGTAGAGTTATCCATGGGGAGGATGAAGATCCATAAGGGCTAAAACCTGAATTACTTTCATCAAAACCATCATTCAAGTGCCTCAAGTTACTCTGATTACTTTGATAATATTTTATTCAATAATCTATCCCATAATCCATAGCAGACCTGATTTTTTTCCAGTGTTTTTCCAGATCTCTGTTGCTCCTTTAGGTCTTCAATCTGACGCAATTTCTGAGCAGAAAATGAAGTTAAAAAAGATTCAGCAATCATTACGAGGGTTGTATTCCCAAAAATTGGTCAAAGACCCTATTCAGAAGTGGCAGCAATTTTTTACTTCTTTTTTTTTTTCATTGTAAATAATCGTATTATGGAAACCACAGAAAATAATACCAATTCAATCGATTCTGATATATGAGAGTATTCTTCACTGCTTTCTGTCATAGCCTGGACCTCCTAATAAGATGAGTAACCTACTTGTTGGTAAATTTAGACAGGTAGACAATATTGATGACCATTATGAAATTATTGTGTCTCATATGGAAATCTCCAAGGATTGATTGATTGATTCCCATTTTTGGTGATGTGTTTGTTCAAATTTTTTGTTGAAGGTATTCTTTTTGATTAATTGACAACACAGAACACATTTTAGTGATTTTGTGTTTTGTTGTGTTGGCTGTGGGATAAAGTGATATTTTACCTTTTTCAAATTTCTTAGCTTCTTTTCTTTCTCTGGTGGAAGAGTTGTATCAGCTACTGGTGGTGATGCTGGTGATGATGGAGGAAGTTTTGACCTCACTGCCTGAAACATTAATATCCAAGCTTGATGTTGTTGAACAGTTGTATATGTTGTGCCCCAATGATGATTGTATGCCTTGCTACCCAAACTAAAAAAAACTAAACCAAACTAAAAACAAACTCTGACGAAGGGCTAATGCTTGAAACGTCAGCTTTTTTACCCTTTACGGCAGCTAATTTATGTTTTCAACCCAGTTGTTAACACTAAATTACCTGCTATACTCTCCCACCAACGCAGCACCACAGTTTCTTTAGAAACTTACCCCTTTAAACTAAAAAACTGGCAGGCATATGGACAGATGGATCAAAGGAAGGACAGGAAGATGGAGAGAAAGACAGGGAGGTGGACAGACAGAGAAGCAGACAGACAAACAGATAGGCAGACAAGCAGATAGACAGAAAGACAGACAGAGAGAGAAGCAGACAGACTGACAGACAGACAGAAAGGCTGAAAAGAGGCTGTTAGACAAACAAACAAGCAGATAGAAAGACAGGCAGATAGACAAACAGATAGAGAGGCAGACAGACCAACAAACAGATTGACAGAAAGAGACGCTGACAGATGCAGACAGATAAACAGACAGGCAGATGGACAGACAAGTAGAGAAGCAGACAGACAGACAAACAGAGAGGCTTACTTCTTAGCCAACCAAAAAGATGACATGTAAATTAGCAAATGTACACTTAGATAGACAAGGAGAAGGGTTAAGAGATTTGCTAATTGCCTGACTGAACAACTCTATGCGATAAATGTACAGATGGAGATTCACAAAGATGTCTCGTCCATTGGTTGTACTTCATTTCAGCAGTGTAATTCATTTTTATCCATGATGTGACAGAGTAATGGAAAAATGATCACCTCAATTGGGGTTTGAATTAATAACTGATCAGGATTAAGGGGATTTTCAGGGCTCATCTGGTCAGGGTTTATAACAGTTGTGAAATGTTGAAGTTGGACAGACTACCTCCTGAGTAGCAACTTCCTGTTCTTGCTTTGCTCTTGCTTTGGCCTCTCTTTTTTTCTTATTTTTAGCTGCTGATTTTGAGATTTCCTGGCCTTCCTTTGGCTTCATATTTTCTGCAGGTTCATTCTCATGCTAAAATGAAATTAAGAATTCAAAATAAATGGCCTGCTCTCAAGCTTAACAGCCCACTCCATAGGCTAGAACATATCCCACTTTCCATAATGTGAAGATATTAAGAGTATTGTTGCCATTCCCATGGTCCATTGCAGGTTACTTTCCCCCACCCCACCCTACCAGTACCCATCTACACTCCTTGGTGTGAAGAGAGGCACTGAGAGAGTTTGACCCTTATATTCCAAACATCAGTGTGTATATTCTCCATACTGTTCTCTATACATTTTTTAAGGTGCAGACAAGGAGAATTAGCTTAATGATCCAGAGCTTCTGTAGTTGTTGATAATTTTGATTATTCTCAGAACTTTTGTGTGTGATTCAGTGGTGATATTGTAAGGAGAAATTAGATGTTAGTCATTCTTAGGGGCTAAAGCTTTTGATCCAGAGTCCTCCATATTAACCATGACATCACCATGTCTCCCACACTATTATCAACCCTTTACACCTCAACATCAGTATCCATATTCTCATACTCTTCTTTATACATTTCCTTTAGTACTGACAAGGAGAATTTGTTTAGCAATCAAAGCTTCTTTGGTTGGTGATCATTTCCTTTATTCTCATGATCTTAATGAATGATTCAGCTGTATTACCATAGGGAGAAATTAGGTGCTAATCACTCTCGGGGTTTAAAAGGGTTAATGATAGAATAATCACAACATGGAGATCTCTTCAAAGATATTCAGACTAGAACAAATTGTCTCACCACTTTTACTGAAGGTGCCAATCCTCTGAGACCAGGAGGTCGATAAACATCTTTAGCTGGAGAGATAAATACCTGGATGTAAGACATATACTTAACCCTCTCACTCCTACAATCTGATAGTCAATTCTCCCCTCTATCCACCACACATTTTCTTATAAATAAGTTATGAGAATTTGGTGTTAGATTGAGATAACAACTTAACCTGATAAGTTTGAATATTCTCATGACCTGTTTGCTGGATAATGTTCAGATATTATAGGGAGAAGTTACATGTTAATCACTTTAGGGAGTTAAAGGGTTAACACTTGATTTGGCACAATTGTCAGTTTTACTGTGAAGGTTTTATAAAATCTAAGATGACACATTTAATTTTTTCATTGGAAAACAACACTAAATAAATCTGTTTTTTTTTAATTCAAGCTATAAGAGACTGCAATAACACTGACTTTTCTGTTGTTCTTGTGTTGTGGCAGACACTGCAGCACTGTAGTCAATAGTTGGCTCCTTAAACTTTCCATCTGGAACAGGTTGCCACTTAACCTGCCAAAAAAAAAATTGACAAAAGGATCCAAAAAAATTAAGAGGATTCAGTGTTTTTTCAATTGCATAAATCATGGTGCACATTAACAGTGAAAGATGTTTTACCTCCCAAAGTTCACTAACTCTTCTTTCATCTAACAGCTTTCCTGTATAATGCCACAGTTTGTACCTGAAAATAAACAGTGGTTGAAGACAAGTGAAAAAGTACAATTTAGGCTAAGTTAGATAACAACATCACAAAAATGTTAGCTAAAGGGCACATAAAATCAATTGTTTGAACTCAACAACAGTATCAGTGAGATCCTGTTTTGGAACAGTTAACCCTTAAATTCAAACTTACCCATTTCCTTCTCTGAGCCTTGGAGATGTTGTTGCAGTCAAAATATGTTCACCATCTGGACACCATTCAAAATATGTAGAGTCACTTGCCTGTAAAATTAACATTGCCAAGGAGGTAACTATGGGTTACATGTTTATCACCAGGAGTAGTGAGAACAGAGCAAACAAGGATAAACACAGATTGTCAATCTCAGATTAAAATTATATATATATAAAAAAAAAGAAATCAATGAAAAGTTGAATGATAATTCTTTTCCTAAATCAAAATTACCTGAGGTTTGCTAATTAGCTTAAAATCTTTTCTACTCCACATTTCCTGGCAAAGAAAAAGAGAAAAAAACATTCATCCAAGAAATTCCTCTTTTCTCCAACTTTTTATTATTCTGTAACTGACAAGAAATTCAGAATAAAATTTTAAAAATTGTTTTTTAAAAACTTAGACACTGGTTTTACCCCAGTTCTGTAGTTGCTATTAACTTTACAAAGACTACATGATCAACTTACCAACTGGCCTCTAAGATTTCCAAACCCAGCCAGGCAGATAAGTATGATAAGTTAAGACCAGCAACAAAAGGTATCATCAAACAACTTTAATTAAATTCAGAATGAATGCAAAAGGTGGTAACACTGTTCTGTTTGTCCAAAATTGATCGTTAGACTCAGTTTCCATTTGACATTTAGGAAAGACAAAGTAAGGACTCAGGAAATCCACATAACAGCTGCAATAATTATTAACTTAGTAACAATAATTATGGCTTATAGTAGTTATGTTTAAAATTGTCAAATAGAAATATTAATTTAAAATTACAGATCTTCCAGATATTCTGGAGAGCATATCTCTTTTAAGGATATTATTTCCATGAGGGTTGTAAAAGACGTCATTACGTGGTCCAGTCCCAAAGTCAAACAAGGATTCACATTTTATGTTAAATAATGTTGCCTTGGCTGGCATGACTGATTCAGAAGTAAAAATAAAAAGACATCAAGTCAAGGAAGATATATCAAAAACAACTACAACAACAGCAATAACAATAACAAAACAAGCATTAAAGTCATATATCAAAATAATTTGTCATCTGATTCTTAATACAAATAACAAGCAATAAATTAAAGAATTTTAAAAAGTGAAAAGTGTAAACTGATTTCCACTGTCTGAGGAACAAAAGAAGTGGAACATTTTTCTTACACATATCTGGGAGTCTGGGTGCCAATGTGCAGGGGTCTAGTCACATAATTAGTTGTAATCTACCAGTTTTTCTGTTGCTGTTTGCAGTTGCCTGACCTCCAACCTACCCATCCTTCAACCTGGGTAGTTTTAATGTCAATAGCAATTACTTCTCTCTTTTCATTGTTGCAAAGCCTTGGTCGGCCAGGAGATTTCTTTGTGGCAGTTAGTAGTTCAGTCGCTAGTTTGTTCAAGTGTGCCATGGCACTGAAGTCTGAAGAATTCACTCAGTGGTAAAGAAACTCTTGGAGAAAAGGATACAGCCATATACCACACAGAATTCCTTTGAGTTTGGACTCCATTGAACTGAGTATATTGGTCCTCTTTTAGCTAATTTAGTAAAACAATTGATATGCATAAGCTTATAAACAATTCCTACACAGTACAAGTAATTGCAATAATTGTATAGTAAAATTATGCCAGTCCTTAAGAGATTACTATTTATGATTTGTCCAATAAGTCTTTTGGTAAATGCTAGTGGCAACTGTCGATATGGATGCTCTATTAATGCCATTCTTTAAAATTGCATTTGACATCCTTGCTGCATACAAATTCACACAATTGGCAAAAGCATTTTCAACAACTCTCACTCTGTAAAATAAATATACATTAATTTAATAAATTACCTAACTGCACCATACTGCTTTCTCCAGAAGTACTGATATAATGCAGTGTTTGTTCACCATAATACGAGGCACCTGTTGTGTCAACATCTGTTGTTGTTACAACAAGCACAGCAGAGCCTAAGGAAAAAGAAGACAATCAGATGCAATGCTGTTATAAATGTGAACTGTTTATTCTCAGCTTGCCTTATTTACAATAAACTGAATAACTTGATAATCATGATGAAATGCCCACTAAAAAAAAAAAACACAGAATCAGAAAAAAAAAGGAAAAAGAAAATAGGAAACAGTTATTTTAAGCTCATTCACAATAAATGAACCTGTAAATTAATGCATAAAATACAGCACAAACCTTTCTTGTTCCACATTAATTTCACTCTGTCTGCCTTGAAAAAGCTTTTATTGGCTAGAACAGAAGCAGGATTGTCAAAATTTGGGTGTCTAAATAATCGCACATACGATGGTGCACCCTGATGAGATAAAAACAGATGTTTAGTTATGTACCAGCGATTTATTTTTTTATTTGCACAGAAGAATTCCCAGCGACTAAAATTCCTTAATTTGACGTTTCAACTGTTCAAAATGTGCAGAATTCAGAGACAAAACACAGCACACCCACCTTTGAACCAGGAACATAAGCTGCCACAGTAAATGGAGGGGGACCTGGAGAGAGCTCAAAATCTGAGATTCCTTGAAGCCTCAGTTTGGCTGCAATTGAAGCTACAAAATATGATAAACAAAACAATACAGCTTAGTTGTCAGATAAGGAAAGATATTAAGGGGGGGTGTAAAACAAATCAGAGTCCCTCCACCAGTTTTTGCAGGTCAGTGCTCTACCACTGAGCTTCATATATCTCGCTGTGTACTAGATTCATATATAATAATCATACTGCATACTACTAGGGTGAAAATTTCTGAAAGCATCATATGTAAATTACATTGAACATTCAAGAAAGATGGCAAAACTTTGAGTTATGTAATCCAATAAAGTAAGGTGTTGGTTATTTTGTGATGAGTATGAGACAAAGGCGAAATATTCTTTAGAAAACACACAGGTGATCAAACTTTCAAAACTCAACTCAGTCTAAAGATTTTATATCTATGACCAGTTTTTAAGGTTGTTCCCCAAAACTGATTTTGTACTGAACTAATGTGTACATACTGAAATCTGCTTCGTGAAAGCAGTGAATCTCATTGTTAACAGATCGAGCACAGACTGACTCATCTTCACTCCACTTTGGTTGCCTGGTAAAGAAGCAATGATTGGTGCTTAAGCTTCCCTATAACTTTCATTGAGAAGTATGAATAACCAAGCAGACTACTCAAGGCATAATTGATGTTGATCAGAACTTGCAAGAACACTGATCAGGGAAGATTACAAAAATTGAATGTTCCCCTGCATCTTAAATTATTTCCTTCACAATTGTCATAGTCAACTAATTTACAGAGTCAATAATCCTTGGAAACCTTCCTCTGTGACAAAATTCTCTTTAAAAAACTTGGCCCATCAATTTTTGGAAACCTGTAAACAAACACTTGTGCCTTTTTGCCCCAATCATTCTACCAAGAAAGGGATTCATTCATGCTTAGAGAAGTGTGGTTTTAATCAGTCTTCATATACTAGTTATTAAATAATATACATGAACAGGCATTTCTGCCAGGTTTTTTCTTATATATACACCAGGGAACCCAGAAATTAATTTGAAACATACAATAACCTATCTGTAAACTTTGTTTATCTACATAAACTGTTAAAATCAGTGAAGTTACTGGCAAAAGAAAAATAAAAGAAAGAACTTCAGAAAGCTAGAAAGACCAAATCCTGTAAAACTAACCAAGTGTCCTTCTTCTTCTGTGAAAATCCAGCAACTAATCTTCCAGCCTGAAGATTCCAGATTTCAAGGTTGTTTACTCCTGCAGACTGATCTTTACTTGCTGTTTCGCATGAAAATAATAACAAAATCAGTTCAGCAATGCCCACAATTTAACCTTACCAATGAAAGAAAAGAGACTTGCAAAGCATCCTTTTCTAAAAAAATTACTTTAAGGAATGAAAAAAAGAGACATAGGCAAATGGGTGTTACCTTGATACAAGACCAACTTTTCAAAATAGGCTGATTGGAAATCACCATCATGATAATGCTATTTTATACTACCAGGGTGTAATTCAAGTCTTTAGCTTTGTGCCTGAAAGCAATTCAGGGCCATGTTCGACGGCTAGAGGATAGTATTCCATATGTTCAAGAAATCTTTGAAGCATCAATAATTTATAGTAAATCAGGTGGGGCAAATGGAAGACGTAGTAAGAATGGATCAATATCAGTATCTGGGCAACTGCTCACCTACCCCTCCCCTAACTCAACAACAGTCAATTGACAACAAGTCAAGGTTAATGTTGAGTCAGAGGAGGGGTAGGTGGGCAGTTGCCCAGATACTGATATTGATCCGTATGAATCAAGGTAAAGTAAAGGGAAAAGTTTGGCCACTGCAACTAACCTGTGTACTGTTCCCATATTGACAGGTGAGTGGCTTTAGGAGAGAAGTCCAAACACTGAGTTTTCTCTTTAGGAATACGGCATACTAAACTGAACTTGGATGTGTCTACGACTATTACACTGCAAAATAATAATTAAGTATCAGAAACAAATAAAAAGATCTCTTAAAAGACAATCAGATTGGGAAACAGACTGGCTGAAAGACAAATTACCAATGAAACTAAATCAAAATTCACGAGTTATTTATTTATCCATTGGAGACATTATCTGCTCTTTAAACAACTAGGCCCTAGGGTAAATAGGTACCAACAAAATGTTAGGGAGGCCTGATGAAATTTTGGGCAGGAGGGGAGAGCTAATGGTGGCATCCCATCCAGGGGCCAGGGGGAGTAGTGATAAGCCTAGTCACTTAATGCTAAGAAAATGGAGATAAGCTCTTACTGGATTGGGGGGAGGGAGAGGGGCTAACCTTGCAGTAGACTGACATCCCATCCAGGGGCCAGGGGGAGTAGTGATACACCTAGTCACTTAATGCTGAGGAAACTGAGATAAGCTCTGGCTGGACTGGCCTCTTGGCTCAGGTAAAAACTTAATCCTTTCTTTTTAATCCAAAAAAAAATTGTACCAGGCAAGTGAGAAGCAATACAATTTATTTTAATTTCTACTTACATGGTACTTACACCAAACTATGATTACTTAAAGACAATTTCCTGTGGTATCTGTTAATCTCCTTCAACATCCCTTTCAATGGTAATTGTTTTAACATGTGACAAAAGGAAAATAATACTCAAGAAAACGATCTTTACCTTTGGCCATTACACCAAGTAAAGAGAGACCCATCAGGACTAAAGGTCATTGCCCTGCATCGAGGAGAGTTGTCACTAAAATAAACAAATGAGAAATGCTTACAACTCAGCGCAAGAAGAGGTTATGAATTCTGTACTCAAGAACGGGAGGTCACGCATGAAGTTTTAATTTTTTATTCCTCTCAAGGAAATAAGCAGAAACACTTTTGCAAGATGAAAGCTGACAATTTTTCCTTTTACATAGCCTTTGGTGGATTTCCTCTTTCAAGTGAAAAACGAGGTTATGACCATATTTAGTCACCAGGCCTATTTAATTTCATTCAAGAGAAACACCACACTCGCATTTAATTTTACAGTTCGACCAGAGCTGTACATTTGGTTCGCCAATGCAATGGCGGTTTGGAATTTTTGTGTATAACGATGAGAAAATCTGAAAGATCTGTCAAATTGCAAACCGAGCATTATCTTGGATAGAAAATACTTGCTGTAACCAGCAGGTAAGCTGTTGAGTTGTTGTAGCTTACCTTCCAAAGTCCTCGTGTTGCCTAAACTTTGGCGGGCCATGAACAATAGATATTCCGTCCGATCCTCTGACTGAAATGAAAAAAAACATTTCTGATGCAATCACTCTGATTTTACATAGCTATATAATTTAATTTCAAGATATTTTCCCGAGAAATTTTGTGAAAACTTTTTTTACCCGCAAAAAGAGCTCTCGTGGCCGCCATGTTAGCCCTAGCTCGACGAGAGAAATTGGAAACGAACCTTTTTGAGAACGAGGTCATTGGTGTCCAGTTTTTTTTTCGGAAAGTCACGCGATGAAGGAAGTGGAGCTATGTGGCAGTGAACGTCGAGATGAATAAAATTTCATGATCGGACGAATATAATGGAAGCCGTGGATTAGGAATTTTATGTTGCTTGAGGCGATATCATCAACCCAGGAATTCGCAGCCCAGAGAGCTTCCTCAAGTGCAACTAGACACAGGGCATATGGGTGAGTGATTGCAACACCGGGTGATTTGTGAAAAGAGCTTGCCTGTTTTCACACTAGCACATATGAATTTATCGCTTGAGTAATTCTATTGGATTTGTTTTAGGAAATGAGGTCGTCATTGTGAAATCCGGTAAAAGAATATGCGGCTCTGGGGCAGCTTTAGCGAATGCGGCGATCCTTCAAAATAAATGCTACTTTGAGATGAAAATACAATCTGGAGGTGCGTTACTTTTGGAATGTTACTTTTGCGATCAATATATCTATACTCTCGATTTCTCAGCCGCAAAATTAGATGGTTTTTATCCTAAACTTACATACATGCCCCTTCTTTCCTATCGTTTCTTATGTCTAATAATTAAAAAATTCGACGTTACAAAATTGTCGATCGACTCAACTAAAATCTGCTGATTTAGACGGGTTACACAAAAATGTTTGTTTCAAAGGATCATTTAGCGAACTAAGGAAACGATATTTGTCAAGTTTAGAGTAATTAATGTTGGTCAAAATCAGTTGGTTTTGAGCAAACATTATGCAGTTCTTGGATAGTTCTTGGATAGTTTGAAAACAATAAAATTTACCCAAAATTATCCCATACAAGCTTGTTGACAAGCTTGAGAATAAAATCAGGAAATCTCACAAGACACGTCCATGTTTTGATACAGATAAGTGACTTGACCTTTTAATGAGGGCATGCACCAATTGTGTTTCCAAATCATGTAAATTTTGAATAAACTAACCACATTTGCGATGGAATTTTCACTTTTAACTAAATAATTGTAAATTCGTAGAATATTTCAAATATCAGTTTTCTTGGAACTGAGTGATAATTAAATTAATAAATAATGCAGATTTTCTTTAGATTCTTATTATAGACCTTCCCAATTTTCAAAATGATTGTAAATTTTTAAATAGACTTTAACACTTTCAAGAACATCCTGTTTAAATTTTTTTTAATTTTGTGTTTTGAAATGTTCTTTTGGGTGTCACAATTAAGCTAACATGTCTTCATTCTCTTAAAACATAAATAAGTTAATCCAACAAGTTTTTTGATTGAAGTGAAAGTCCTTAATGCCACCTAATCCTACAGAGCAATAGATACATGCCAGGTTCATGACTGGTTATGCATGTAT